CATAATATAAGTTTGTGTTTTCTTTAAATGATGCTGGCTGAAGTCTGCATCAAATAACTATTTATTAATTAGAGTAGTCTGGTAATTACAAAATATTCAAACAAAAGCGTATGAGTATGAATTAATGGCTTATCAGATAACAAGTCGTTAGTCGAGAAAACGAGTTAGAAAATTAGTAATGAGACCTTACTTTTATCTTCTATATCAAGAGAGTTTGAAAAAATATATAACCTCAATGCCATATGTATTTATATGATTATGTGTCCCCTTCTACTAACATTTCTTTGACGTTGAAATCTTTTATCAGCTGTTTATTTTTATTCTGCAATTCAAGCTGTTGTCCAAAATAATATGTATAATATGTTAACTCAACTGTACAGTCATTACACGTTTATATATGTGTGTCCTAGTTATAGTTTTCTTCTGGTAACGACAATTGACAGGTTGTATCAACAAAAATAATAAGTTGATATTAACTACTGATCAGTTATATACATGATTTTTTAACGGAAAATAAGTTTGTACTATTGTTTAAGCTACGTATACTCAACTAACATAATGCCTTATTCAATGTTTTATTTGGAAACTTCAAAAATAATGATCAACTATTTATGATTCTTCAGTAATGAGTACGACACATTTAGATAGCTGATTTGCAATTTATTAGTCCATATTTCAATCAACATGTGACAAAGAGCTACACTTTCAAAGAGATTAACTTCCTAGATTACGATGACTATTCGGAAAATCACTCTTGAAACTAAATGTCATTCAGCACAAAATTATTATTTACTGAGTTTATTGACAGATATTTATTCATTTTAGTGCCAACCTGAATGCTCTACGTCCCAGTCCGTGTGAATTTGTGAATACTCACTAATAAGAAGCCTCAAAAACAAGGACGAAACAGTTAACTGTTGCTCCCTAGTTTTTTAATGGTTCGTCAGCCACAGCTGGTTCGTGAGAGGAATATCCTCCAGCTATTTATTAACTAAACTATTTAAATAATCAGTTCTTATTTTTTCCCCAGAAAACAAATACTGGACTTTTATTTATAATATGATTTATTGAGTAGTTGGAGTATTCAGAAATTTACTTAATAGCATGTGCTTAATAGATAAGTTATTGTTATTATTCATTGCTCTGAATAGTCTTCAGTTATTTAGTTGGCAGATATCTAACTCCCTAAATGTCCTAGCTAGATTACTGCACCTGACACTGATATGAATTTACATTTGATTATATTTATTACATCATTGACTTATTACTAATTAGTGATTATTATTCTTTGTAAATTAAAGTGTCAGTTTAACTGAGGATTGAGAAACAAACAACGATTCAAGCGTTTTAAATCTATTCTTTTACTAAAGTTTGTTAATTTACTATTGACTGTGAAATTCATCAGCTGTGAAGTGTTTTTTTTATAATTATTAGAAATGTAGTTTTTTTCTTCCTAACTAAATCAAACTTTGGAAATAATAATGATAATGTAGAATTCTCAGAGCATAATATTTTAATAAAGTTTTCTTATTCATCATATATCACAAAATTTATTTACAAACTATATATGCGTGAAATACACAAATAAATTTTATCGAATTAAATTAAATATTTTTAAGATAATGAGAATCAGTTGTGTGTTGTCACTAATCCGTTTATTGCTGATAAGTTTCTTAAATGATTTCCAAATATTTGCGGAGTTTACAAAATTTTTGAGCATACATCAAGTTAAGACTATCTATTTTTCTGGTTTATTAGATTATTTAGGGTTCGAACTTCAATAAAGGTCCTCCCATTTTTCAATAGACTACTTTGTCCATTAATTATATTTTAATAAAACTAAACAGCTTGGGCATATAATATCATCGAAAAAAATTCTCTCCCCTGAAGCCTTTTCAATTATTTAACTGACTATATCTTTATTAAAAAAAAGATTTAGATTAAGTGATTTTTGGTATTCAGAATGGAATTTCGGTCAGTCTTTATCAGCACATGTTGATCCTGTGCGGATTACCTTGATGTAGTACTTTTATCATAATTTTAATGGAATAGATTGATTGTGGTTAGTACTGGAATCAAGATAGCACGTTCTATCCTGTTAAGACTAGTTAGTTATATGTACCTGGTCTAATAACTTGTGCTTTGGTATAGTGATTATAATTCAATAAATGTTAGTCGTAAAAATAGCTTCAGTAGCTTGGATATGCTGTACGAATTATTATATGATGAACTACTTGCCAATCCCGTGATTGAATTGAAACAAAGACGGTAATTTATTATATGACGCTAATATATGAACTGATATTTGTCGATATATTGAGACCCTCTGAGTTATCCAGATCACGCAACTCAGTAACTCGAAATGCCATACATAAGTCTTGATATGAGACAGTGGTGCTCCTTTATTAATTTCCAATTGCAATTTACACAAAAATCAAATTAACCTTCATGAAAGCACACAATCTCACTGGGTTTTCTTTTGTTGAAATTATACCATTTGATAAATACCACGTTTATCCATTTATTTATTGGTTAATAACTATTCCCCGTGGTACTTACCTCAGAATCTTATGGTGACATTATGCGGCCAACCGTTTTTCGTATAAAATGATCAAGTCCAATTAAGTAAACAAAGAAGATAGATTTCGTTTATTCAAAACGTATAACCTATTCCTAATGATAATACAACAGAACCTATCGGTTTTTATTCAGAGTGGTCTAATTAAGCCTCAAACCAGCAATTTTCACACGAATGCTAGAATCAAAACAACGGATTTACTTGCAAACAAAAACCATAAAAAGAAAATGCGTTTGCCTTTTCCAATCTAAGTAAACCAATCAAATAGATGATACTATTAATTATTTATTAAGTACCATAATCACTTCATGCTCCTAACTATAACAGTTTATATAATCTGTGATATCAACTGTTTATTTTTCTTCTTGATTACATTTAGTTCAAACAAATCAGAATATTGCAATTAGTTTAAAAGTAATTTATTATAGTTTCTGTTTTGGAACTTACCTGCTTGTTCTGCAATATTATTATTTCGTTTTCAGGTCACTGAACAAGTGAGTCATTAAACTGTTTTAAAAAAATTATATTGAGGACAATTATTGACCATAAAAATGTTTTATGCGAGTTACCCGGGGACAAAATAATTGTGTTAACATAGTTTTTTTCATTATCATAGTATAGTCTTTTACTTTCATCTACCGAAAAATTATAAGCTAGGATTAAGTAATCAAATATAGGAAAATATCGTGTCTGTATCTACATGATAAACTGTTACATAATCCTTGAAAGTACATGACTTGTATGTCAAGTCAATTACGTAAATTGCGAAAAATTTACTAAAATTAGACAATTACATCAAAATAAGACTGAATGAATTGAATCGATTGAGTCACTAATCTCTCACATCCATAAAGTTAATCAACTAATCAACCAAAATAAGAGAGAAATATTTAGAAAAAAAGAAGTGCAACAATCGTACATAAAGGCAACAAAGAAGAAACGTTATTATTTTCAATGTCACTGAAGAAAGTGGAAAATTTACGAAAGAATAAACAAATGGAAAGGGAAAGAAGAAATATAGCAAAACAATAATTATCAAGGAAATTCCAACAGATAATATAATTCTATTCTTCGACGGATGTAACGCACAATGAAATGTGAAAAAAAGAATAGTTAAATGTAATTATATTTAAAATAATGGAACCAAGCAGTTGAATAAGCGGAAACAATAATGAGAACCAGACACAAAACAGCGTATAATCTTGAATAGCCGTAGCACTAACCAGCCTAGTAAAACCGATACAAAAATCAATCAGATGAGAAGCAAATAGGTTGGGATGATCTAATTAGAAACAGTCGGGCAACGCAGTACGAACTCTATCATCATCTAGGTCTCACCCTAGCCGATACTCTTTAACAGGTTGTATCAACATTGAACGTATTGATGTATCCCATGAGATAAAAATCTGTGTCAATTATTGTCAGAGCCATTGAAGTCACCACCAAATTCTATGAAATTATTTTAATCACAAATATTTTATTTAACTCAATAAACAATCACAAGTAGTTTATTTACTCAGCTTTGATTTGTGAAAGCTAGTGATATAAACCTATTTGTTGAAATCAAAGTAGATAAAGTATGCTCAGAAAAGCTGAGATTTACTGGTTGAAGGTAAAAAGTCAGTAATTAATCGGAATGGTATACTGAGCCATTTTAAGTAAAAGAAAAGTTTGACAAGAAATCATCAAATTAGGTAAGCGATATGAATCGACAATAAAATTACACAGAAGAGTAAGAAGTATTATTCAACCTCCCTGATCTAAGTTCTATCTAAAGTAATAGTGTGTTGATTCAAACACAGTACCACCATATATATATATATATATGGTGGTCGGTATTCGATATAATCCTTAAACTTCGTATACAGTTCGTCGTGATAACCGTTCTATATAACGTACCAACGGTATATTACTCAGAAGGCAAATACGAAGTGTTGATTACGTTTATTGCGAAACCACACACATATATCCAAATGTACAGATGTGTTAAACAAGCATAGAAGATTTGTGCCGAAAGGCAAGCAAGCGAGCGAGAGCCAGAGCAAGAGCGTGACGAGACCGTGTGAGCGAGTGAGTGATTGAGTGTTCAATATGAATAACATGGACATATATATACCATGTGAAATGAATGGGTAATCGAATCGAATAAGCGGTTAGTAGTAAGATTAGCAGAGTGAATAAATGCGTAGGCAGTAATCAATATTCAAGCATACGTATTTCATACAAGCTCAAAATAATAATAAGGATACAATAAATTGTTATGGTGCGGATGGCTTTGTCCGCTAAATAAGTTAACAAAAAGGGCTTAACTGGGTTAAATGAGAATAAATCCATTTGCACGTGAGTCGCTATATATATATATATATATATATATATATATATATATAATTGTTATTTGATTATATGTTTGAAAAAATCTTACTTCATCTAAAATCATAAGTCCCCATTCTTGACTTCTGATCCAACTCATCATACGATCAGCTTCATATGAACGCTTAGCTGAATGTGCAATCATACTATATGTACTGATACATATGTGTGAGTTTATATTTGGACGATCTTTTGCATCACTAGTAAAACGTAAAATTTGGCCATCTTCAATAGTAGACCATAATTTAAATTGTGCACGCCATTGTTCAACAGCAACACCACTTGTGCATAAAACAAATGTTGGCTTTCTTATTGTACATGCAGCTGTGACACCAACCTGAAAAAGGAAAATATATTTCCAAATAAAATAATCCCCGACCACTCAATCAATCAGGAAAGACATGTAGACCAAAGCTGCTCGATAATTTTGAATCAATATTTTAAAAAATGAATTTGACTTGAAGAAATCAGTGGAAGAAATATACAAAGTTTGAACAGTAGGGTATGAATAGTAACGAAAAGAATTGTTACCCTAGGTTATAGAAACAAAACAAAAGATATTGTACTAATTCGGGGTAATAAGAAATTAAATAGTTCTAGTTTATATTCTCCTTCATACTACAGACTCTTTCGCTTTCACGAGGAAAATCCTGAAATCACCATATGAAAAATAAAATCAAAAGTGTTTAGGATACAAATCGTGATCGAGGTGGGACAAAAACGTGAAACCGAGACGTAAAATAAGAAGTTATTGAACTAGTAAAAACCCAAAAAGAAAAAACTGAACCACGGGAAAGGATGCTATGTCTCAGTATAGGACAAATTTGAACACTACAAATGAGTGACTTAAACCAAAAAAATTAAAACTAGGATCGAAGCATTATAAACCGTTATTCATTGGATTTAAGATCATGTATCTGTTATTCAGCACGATGGTGTAATAAATCAAATCGAGAAATATGACGGAAAGTTATCATTTTCAGTTTGTAAAATTAAAATACTTTGTAGACAAAACAGTTCTAGATTAAGTAAACAACAACAGAATATAACGTGACCTCAATATACCTATCAAAAAATTATTTATTCACATAATGAATCCTTTTCGAAGAGTGCATTTTCAACACTAATCATGTCGTAAATTATAGGTCTAAAAACAAATCGTATGTTTCCAAGAATTCAACTACTGAAATCACAAACTGATGCGAATTAGGCAATCAGTGGTTTCAAATAGATTCAGCAATCTCCACAACCCTCACACCAAGGATTTGATTTGTTATCTTGTGAAATTTAACTACATAATTTTTCTTAAATAAGGCGGTAGTTATTAAAGGAGGGCATTTATGAAACAAGATAAATATATCATCAGTGTGATGAACAAAGCAACTGTGAGTATTGTGAAACTAAAATGAATGAGGCGTATGAATGGTAATTTGGATTCTGGGTCAAAACAACCTTCAGAATAATAATAATAATAATAATAATAATAATAATAACACAAAGGTAGAATAAAATAAAGCCATTTTCGTAAACGTAGAAGAGCAATATGAAGAGAAAGAAAGAAGTACAAATTACTAAAATAAAATTAAGAAATCGACTAGCGTAAACAGTTCTAATTTATTTTTATCAAGTTCAACAAGTTGGTATTGTTTATTTCGGAATAATATTGAAAACACTTAAAAATAACTTCATACCCGTAAAACAAATTGGTTTTTATTCGGAATCAATAACTTGGTGGACAGTGAGTTGTAATTTGAAGTAATAGGTACTGGGTTCGAATATCAGTATGAACAAAATACTGAGATAACAAGTTCTGAATAGTCTGAAAGTCGCATTCTGGATCTCACGGCTAATCAGAACCCGAATAAAGAAACTTACAGCTAAATGGCAATACCAAGGTAATTCGCTCATTATGCTCGAATGCCACTACAAACTGGTCAAAATACAGGCCTTGATGTCAGCGGTAAAACAAAAACCCTCACGGATATATTATGATTTTCCCGTAACAACCTATGTGTGAGTATACAAAGTATAATACTCTGATAACTAGACTAAAAAACTTTTTCCTATATATAAATGTATTGAATACATACTAATCACAATATTAATAAGTCGAACAAAAGCAATCTTCAAATGTTAGAATAACGGACGTGATGAGATAAAAAAAACTGACTGTACACATAAGTAACACGCAAAATAGTTCTTACAACTGGATACAAATTCATTACCATGCTGATAATTTAGACACATTAAAATAGTACCTGTCTGTTTGAATACATATGTAAGTAAAATGACGTACGGCCCAACGACAATGATAGAGAAACAAATGCTTTCACCGCATTTTAAAAACACCACAAACGTTAAGAATAATGGTACTTGAAATTTAGGCAGCCACATCTGACACGTTAAACAATTCTAAAATATGACACTGTGAAAATTGTGACAAATATATTAGTGATAATGCTTGTCGAAATTATCTGTGTAAAATGAGAGCATTACAGAAACACACAAGGTTTGCTATTAAAACAAATTAGATGTTTTGTAGGACAACAAAAGAGATTTCCCCTAACGGTTATCCTCACATGCCAGATGGGAAAAAGTTGAAGCATACATGTGTATAAATTATATGTCACCTCAAGACTTGTAGTAATAATCATAATGGCAGAAGAGGAAAATAACTCGAATACGGTAATCGCGCTCCTTCTCTCTCTTCCCTTTTCTTTAACACACAAATACAGCTGTATTTACGTGGATCTATTGACGACAGAAGCAAAATAAATCAATGGATTATTGATTGATCTACAATGACTCATGTTATTTTACCTATAATTAATAGTAAAAGGTAGAGAGGGGAAGAAGATTAAATGGGGGAGATAGATCACGAAAACGACATTTACTATTGTTATTATTAGCATAGGCAATCTAAGAAAATTGAGTATTTTTTTACGTATTTGTTTTGAAAATGAATATAATAAAACATAAGAAGCAAATAAAACAAGGGCGAAACGGGGAGTAATGAAAGGAGAATAATTAGGAATTTATATCACATTACGGTGAATAAAACGATTTTGAGCAGTATACAATGTAATTCGTTTCTCGATAGTACTGCTAGTATTCAGTGATCATATGTTTTTCTATATTTTTGGAATTTCTATTCTAAACGAAATGTGCGTTGAGTACGAATTAGTGAAGCCTGAACTTCACGTTTTAATCTCATTAGCGAGTGAGTGACCCATAAAATTTGTATGCCACAAGCAATTGCTTTTAATGGTTTTTGTCTTTCATTTCGAGTTAATAGTTTACAGATAAGTTCATCGGTTTGTTAGAAAAGATGAGGCTCGTGTACTGGTCAGTTATTCAGTCTTTTGATAACCTGAGTTTTCAAACATCGGTGTTATAAGCAGTAATAAGTTGGTCATATAGTAGCACAGATACACGAATGAAGAGTAACTTTTTTTCAAGAAATTATTATCAGTTTTTCCGACTTTGAGTTTAAATTAATGGTCTGAAGAGTTTGCTCAATAAAAAAACTACTTTGATAACAGAACACAGTTACAAAACATCATATAAGAAAACTAGTTAGTTTAATGTGAAGGCACGAAATTTCAGTTAATAACCAACGTAATATGCTATTTATAAAAGACAATTAACATAATTAATGGTATATCAGTGCATAGTTTCTTATTGCGTGTTGAAGTAATACAAGTCAAGTAAATAGTAATGATTCGTAAAAGGTTGAAAGTAATTATATTGTATTTATAATATTTACGTTGACCTTATTTTCCGAATACGAAGAAATAGTGAAGAAAGATTTTTATTCATTTGCTTACGGGGATAAAATAAATTCCCGAAGACAGAAAAAATTTATATACAAAAAGTGATATACAATAAAAAACACAAAACACATGATCATTAAATATAGAACATTGATGACGACGGCGACAGTAACAACAATACGATAGTGATCAAAAATATAGAAGAATGATAATGATGAGATCTCATTTATTTAGTCTATTATTATTATTATTATTATTATTATTATTATTGGGAGCATATAATGGGACTCTACTATTCATAATCATCTCATGACTACACCGTATAATGCACCAAGTAGCACTATGAATTGGTGAGATATGATGAATGAAAGTAGATTATTCAAAAACTCTAAGTATTCATTGATATGCATCAATGAAAAAGACTTCACATATATACAGTACAGTTGAATAAAAAATATTCAGTCAGTCAGACATAACATAGATCCATGTACGTATGTACATAGGTTTAAGATGCAATATCCCATTAGCACAGAGAAATGAAATTGTAAGGTTCAATCCCAGAATAGTAGGGGTAATAAGTGTCAGTCATAAAACGGTAGATCCAGTATCAATGATACGATTCGCGAGAAAAAATATAAATTAGTGGGAGAAATGTTATGAAGAATTTAAGATAATCACGCAGACCTCAACCAGGTGGTCTACACTTATAAACACAGCTCGGTCCGATTGCCAGTGACTTCATGGACAAGTCCAATGTTTTGGTGTGGACATTTCTAGCTTTCGTATAGCCACCACTACACCAGACAATATCGCTCTTCGAGGTAGACAGTGGGTGGGAATACGTAGCATGTCCTAATCACCTCACCAGATGAGGATTTACTACCTCATCAATAAACTTCTCACTATTATCTAGTACCCCATTCGTAACCTACGGATCGCATACTCACTGGCCTCACAATACATGAGTGATGCTTCGAAGACATATATGGTTGAATACCAGTAACCTACGAATAGTCCCTGCTCTTAAAGGCTATGTTTCATAACCACCAAGTAGAACGGAGCGAACTGCCGTGTAGTATACTCGCACCTTAGTTGGCAGACGGATGTCTCGTTTATGCCATAAATGACGAAAGTTCAAAAGAGCCGATCGAGCTCTTCGAATCCGTAAAGAGATTTCATTAGACTCCAGACCATCAAGACTGATGAAACTCCTAAAATGAGTGGGGCGGTTGATATATTCAACTGACGCACTCCCTATCATTAATTCGGGAGTAGACGCAGGCTGGTCCTGAAGCAACATTCTACTTTTGGAGGAGGAGAATCACAAACCAAATATGCTTACATTGTTGCTTAAGGTGAACGGAAGACTGCATTTAATCAACGTATTCACCAAACAGAACTATGTCATCTGAGTATTCTAAGTCAACAAGTGAATCTCCTGGTAGATCAAACCCTGAAAATTCAGACGATGAAAGTGTTATCTTTAAAAACATGTCTATGGCAAAGTTAAATAAAAATGGAGGAAGCAGACAACCCTACCGAGCACCACTTGAAGTAACCGATCCTAATGACAGTTCGCCATAAGCTCTGACTCGACCAGCATTGTCCGAATAGAGAGCCTGTGTACAAGGTTTACGTACTTCGGTATGCCTTTCGATGGCAGATACTCCCACAGAATTTCACGGACTAAAGTAAAGTAAAGTCTTATGACTAAGATCCTCACAAGTGCCTTTCGATTTGGTTTAGTATACCCACATTGAGAATTAAAATCGTCTGACAGTATTAGTGCATCAGAGCGTTCAGCTTTACGAAGGAGGTTGGATAGCTTCCTATAAAATTCATCTTAACTTCATCCGAGCTGCAATTAAGCATGGTAAGAGAGGGGGAGAGCAGCTGTATTGTTTACTAAGCAAAGATCACCAGTCCCACCATGATTACTGTCTGGGTCATAACAGATGTTTATATATATATATATATATATATATATATATATATATATATATCATGAGTACTGTCCAGTTGGGAATAGATGTTCCTATAATTAAGTTAATCAAGGATCAGGAACATGTATTGGTGACCGGATCATATAAAAAATTCCATAAATACATACTTAAGCTTAGAAATAAAAAAAACCTTGACCATTTGACTACACTACTATTTCACAAATAAAGATTAGCAAATGGAAAATGATCTAATGAGTAGGCATATGAAATAAATAAAATCATTTATTCTTAAAATATAATACGGTGTGTATTATTTTATTTCCGTTACTTCCTTTGAGCGCAGTATGATATGACTCTCTTTTGTGTAATAAAAAACAGAAAAGTAAAACAACAATTTCCTCCTACTGACTTTGTTCTTATTTCTGACCTTAACACAACAAAAGAAACAAGGTATCAAACGAAAGAGAAATCTAAATTAACGAAATTAGCTGATAACAATATAGAGCTCATGTATGAGTCTGGGTTTTGAATACTTTCAAACAATCCATCATTCATAGAATATTGAAATGTTAACATAATTTATACGATTGAACAAGAATTTCTAGCTTTCGGTAGCTAATAGTTTGTAGGAAAAAACATCTTTTTAATGGCAATAAATTTCAAACAAATAAAATCTAAGACTCATTATTTCGTTAATGTCCATAATGCCCGCGTAACTTAGATCTGATAAGCGCATTGAGGAAGTGTAGTAAATAGTTTATCTAACTTATTAAGATAATCCACAAACTATAATATTATATATAAACGCGAATGACATACCAATGTTTTACCAGCTCCACAGGGTAAAACAATAACACCAGAACGAGCTCGACCATTACCAAACATTTTTCGTAAACTTTTTTCTTGATATGGTCTTAATGTTGTACTGGCTTTTAAATCAATTAAAATGTCTTTATTAGCACGATCTAAACGAAAATCATATTCTGTTAATAATGGTACTTCTAATTCAATACATCTTCGTTGAAGGATTTCAATTTGATCTTGGTTCACTTCCAAAGCAAGTACAGCTGAGGTTTTCGTATCGTTTGGAACAGATGAGTCAAAAACCAATTTTATACCAGCAGTGTTTCCATTATCTTTTATATCCATCAACTCACCTTCACGATCAGCAACATCTGATTCAATACCGATTGCATTAATATTTACAGTATCGCTAGGTTGTTCCCAGAAATTATTCCCTGATTTTTTTGTTGTATCAACAAGGATAGAATTTGTTTCACCTGCTTCTTCATCTGCATCCAAACGAGCATAAAGACGTAACATTTCATCTTGCATACCAGTTTCTTTATCTGCTGGAATTTCTCTGCTATCTTCTTGCTGGTGTTGTGGCTGTATTACTAATGACGCAGCATTATACAATTTTACAACTTCCACTACTTGTTGTTTAATATCATCATCTTCTGTAATAATCTTTGTTTTATTCAAACATTGTTGTACAGTTTTATCATTTGCTAACTGATGTAAAAATTGACGATGGGGACTTTCAACAAAATAACGACCACCTTTTAAAACTAATTTCGCCTTTCCGTATGATAATGTACAACTACGAATATATGCAATAATACCTTCTGGTAGGTTAGTTTTGCATAAACGACGTAGACAACCAATTATCTCACCAGTACGTAAACCAACTGAAACAGCTGCATATAATGAATAAGAGGTGAGTTTGTACTCGTGTATGTGTAAAGGTCGACAGACTGGTTCTGAAATAGCAATCAAAAAATCTTGAGCTTGACGAGCCAATGGATTGAAAGTTTCGAGAAAAATATGTCCGTCTGGACCTATCCATAATGGACGAGATGGATGATCTAAACGTAATTTTAATATATTCCTCATATCTTTAGCACCAAATTCATCTTTCGGTGTACAAACAACTGTTGTCTCTGTAGGTTTATTCACTGAAGAATCATGTTGCTGACGGGTTTTTGTCATTTGCGCTCTTGAAGCAACACGTAACTCATCTGCATCCATTATACCTGATTCATATTCATCGATATCAGCATCTTCATCGTCATTATCATTATGTTCAACATTATCATCCAAATCATCATCAATCTCTGAGCTGACCTTACCGGTTTTCCTGATATTAAAATCATCGACCTCGTTATTATCATAAACATCTTCATTAGATTCATTATCAAAATCCAATGATCCTGACATCGTAGAATCTTCATCTTCAGGTCGACAAATAGTTGTTCTAGTTCTTTTTGAATCCGATTCTTTGACAGATTTCGTATTACGTCCACGTTTACGACTGTCTGAACGACCCATATCGTTAATTAATGATTTGTAGTAATACTAATAATTTGATCTAGAATGAAAACAAGCAAATTAGGAAGCAACGAGAGATAATTAATTTCTACATTTTTTAGAAATAATGCACGTAAATTGTGGTGTGACACTTCTGATTAGCACTCGGCTACGTATTATGAGAAGAATATGTGAAAAGTTTCAAATTCATGACTAAACGGTAAAAATATGTAGCTTCTAACAACCAGGCCACCCTCCACTTATACGTATATATATATATATATATATATATATATATATATATATATATATATATAAACCATGTATATTCTGATAAAATCTTCAGAATAAAACATCTATAGGCAATTATCGTAAATAGTTTTAGTGGAGATAAAAGCATGTACCACTAGCTAAGACTCAGGAGCCATACAGTGATTGGCTTAAATATTGAGCAAAACTATACTACAGAGCCGTTTAAAATTTAAAATAAACTGATAATTATAAATGTCCCACGAATATAATCAAGATAGAAACCACAAATAAATTCAGAGGCCTGAAAGTCTTATTAAAACTCAATAATTTGAAATCTCGAGTGAGAGATAGAAAAGACTCCACGATTCCAGCTAGCCGAATAATTGAATGGAAAATAAAAATATTTTCAAACGTAAACGGACGGGAGTCAACGCAACCCATTGATTCATTAAAAAGAATGAAAACGTTTCACAAAAGAAAATTCTCTTTTCAATGATATCATTTTCTGGAGCTGTACAATCGCATTTTAAAGTATTTGTAAATATTCATAGATAGGAAACACCTATTACTAACAAAGTACCAAATAACCTTGAGTCAAATTTCACACAGTACTTATTACTATAATATTGGCACACATGTAAATTACACTAAGAACAGTAAAACTTTGAGATTCCCATCGCAAATAAGAGACTAGAATTCCCGTATTACAGCAATAAAGCCAATTGACAAAAATCATTAGTAGATAGTGGACTACGGATTACAAGCTGAACTAAGATTATAGAAGTAAAACAATCTGACTTCAATCATCCAATGTTTTTATAAAAACAACAATGTAAATAATTAAACAGCTGCTTAGTTTGGTCTTTCTTTTAAAAATTGCATTATTGTAATTGAAAAATACGAACTAGATTTTAGGGATGGGATTTTCGTTGATAAAAATACGATGATTGAAGTCAGGATACATGAGGCGTGATTGAATTCACCTCAGTTATAAAACTAAACAATTATTAACTTTAATTTATTGCCAATAGGTAAACTACCGTTTAAGTTAGTTGGATTAAATGACAAATAACTCTGATGAATGAGTAAATACCATAAACATCATGGCAAAATTCAAACGTAACATATAAACCGCTGAGATGATGAATTAGATTTGTCATACTAATCGAATTCACCATTACTTTTGAGATAGACGAAAAGGATCAAATTGGAAAAATAAAAAGAACTATTTATCACGAAATATCTGATAATTTCTATGTACCTAGCTTCCTCATTTTAGTCATCTCATCCCTATGATTGATTACCTAGCAATTATAGCTAATTAGATTTTTACCAGCTTCATATATATATAATCCCATTGGTTGATTAGCAGCCAACCGCAACGGTATATGAACCAATGTAACGTCAGTACAGAATTAGGACAGGTAACTAGTAGAATTAATTGTTGTGTTATAAGCTCTAATGTATATGGTGAACTGTCCAATAAGGACATCAATAAATGTTAGAACAGTACTGTTAGTATGAAAAATAATAATTGAATGTAAAAGGATTGGTTTTCTTATGAAAAAAACACAATAAGTAACATATAAAATAGTTGTAAGCCATCATATGTTAAAATATAGATGCATTCATATGTAAATGTACTAAAATAGAACACCAAAAATGAGGATGTTAATATGATTCAGAAGACGTTCTACTTTAATGTTTAAATTGTAATTATTGCTACGCCTGAACAAAAACATACCACTACATACGCAGAGTTCACATGTACTTATGAACATTTATCATCATTAATGCTGTTCACACGTGATTGGTCAGTTTAACCTTATACGGAATTACTACATAAAAGAAAGGAAATTGAAGATTACTTCACAAACAAAAAAGTGAGTTTGATTACAATAGTTATAAAATTCCATAAATAACAAGTGATATAAAACAGAGATGCGTGTCACACAGAATTAATTTTATGGGATAGAACAAAAAGAGTTGCTTATCGATAACTATAATTAGCTGAAATAAATAATCGTTCTTACCCAGTCTGTAATTCCGAAATCGATGGATTTGCAAAATGAATATCATATTCATAAAATACAAACCTACTATAGTTTAAAAGTTACATCCAACCACTGGATTGGCGAAAAACACATGATATTATGGAGATCTAAAGAATTAACGATTTATGTCTCACACCTCAACTTGAGTGACCTCAATTGTAAAGGTTTCCCAGCAGGATTTTGTAGTAAGGTTGGGGTAATGAGTTACAGGTAATTATTAACTAAGTAACAACTTAAAATAAACACTTAGTAATGAGCGAAATTCCTAACTTCATGAGTCAAAGTGAAAATCTGAATATATAGAACACAAACTCGTAGGCGCAAAGTACACACTGTTGACATATTTGAAGTCAAAAAGGAACAATCATCCATTATTTCATAATATCCAATTTTTATTTAAATCACAGAGAAAAACTATATTTGTGAAAAAATCAAGTTCTTGAAAATTGACTCGTTAAAACACGGAAAAAGAATTATTGATACTGACTAATACCTTTAAGGTAAAACTCAACAGTTTAATGATTGTTAGCAAAAGGTAGTACGAATGAATATTCATCAACCAGCATTTACAGATGCATTATTCAAGTATTTCCAATTGGTATGCCTTAATCCCTACAGTTAATATATTACCATTAAGTCGGATGGATAAAAACACAGTAGAAACTACAATCGGTTGCAGATTTACTTGAAACTAAAACATGTAGAATTTTCATAAGCTGAAAATATAAAAATATCGAAGTTAATGTTAGGGGGAATCGCAAATGAATACAGAAAAGGGGTATGAAAATACAGGCTGATTTATTCATAGACTATTTATTTATTTTAATAAGCATAAACAAAAGTCGGTGGTGAAACTGAAGAATGGAACCATTTTACCAAGTGACAAGCTACCAGACTAACCCGTATATACGATTAGTTTTATTGGTGCGGCTTACAAAAGACCGATGAAGAGAGACTGTTGTTAATACTGACCAAAGTAATGTGAATGCATTTATTCTTTAAAGTTCTTCATATCAGGAATAGTATTTTAGTTATGCCTATTCACCGGTTATCAATCGATTCCCTTGCTTTATATTTTTAGCTTGCTTGCATACCACTACAGTTCGGAACTACTATATTTTTAGTGCGCCATTTCATCACTTCCTTTTGAAGAAACAATTTTAAGACCATCAATACTTAAAGTGCTTCTAAAAGTTACTTTGACAAGTTTCGATTGATTCACAGATCTCCACAAAACAACTGTGAAAATAATTAACTAATTATCTGTGACTTTTTCCTATATGGACACAAAAACAAATATACGTTAACAGAGTTTGTTAGATACAAACAGTAGTACGTCTACACACGACAGTAAACTTATTTACTAAACTAACAATTTAGTTTTATCAGTATAGGGTTGTGAAGATTGTTGAGTTTAAATGGACCATGTGCTCACTAGTGACTAGCTTTAAGATGGATCTCCTGGAGTTCTAGTGAGAAGCTGTTATCAGTGGAGTTCAACCGTGTCTGTTGTGAGGCAGTTACCAACTGAAGACAATGGTGGACGGTGGCGCAATTTCGTGGATTGGTTGAAGTTAGACATTAACGCCGTTGGGTGGCGGCCCAGTGGTCTAGAGGTTAGGCGTTCGCGAGCGAGACTGAAGGTCAAGGGTTCCAGATCCGCGCGTAGAATCATGGGTGCGCATTGCTGAGTAGTCCCGTACTGGGACGAGACGGCCGTTCAGTGCTTCCAGGTTTTCGATAGTAGTTTAACATTGATTGGTTCACGATATCAATTAAAAACTATATAAATCAAGATGAGTCAGAAATGTTGAGGAGATATACAAATTTGACTGTAAAATCAGTAAACTATATTGCTCACCAGTATCTTTCAAATCATAGGTTAACGTTTTGAAATTTCAAGAAACAAGTTAGGATAATTCGAAAAGTATCAAAACTGTTTTTAAGCTGTAGAAAAATTACATTTCAAAAAAGTTAAATATTAAAAACGCAAAGCTGTGTACGGTTTTTGTAGATTTGTAGTGTCTCACATACAAACCTAAAAATAAGAGTGAGAGACTGAATTGCAAAAGAACAAATTTTCATCATTGGATCCAAATTCCCCAATATAGGAAATTACCAACTAAATTGTCCATACACAAAAGCCATATCTTAAATTATCGAAAGCAGCTTACAACAATTCGAAAGCCTTTCTCTCAAGGTGGTTATCAGGATGACAGGAAATAATCGATAGAAAACATAAACAACCTGAAGCTAAAATTCTAATTTTGATGAATAACCAAGATTTCAAACCATAGTACTTACTAATAGTCAGTAATTTATTTCAAACGACATCAATTAATAAAAAAATAAAGTAATCACATGTAAGTATTCAATATAAAACTAAGGTAAACTATTATTGCGTTTACAGATTTTTGCAGAACTCCAAACCAGAATAGTTTTAGTTCCTGTCAATTAATTTATAACTTTTATTTCACGGACTCACTCTTCTCGAACCATCCTTCCAACGCTTAATCATTTGTACTACCATTGATACTAATTCTAATGCTTTGATATTTAACGCGATAATTTCATCTCCCCGTGATATGACATGGCAACTTTGTCTGATACAAATATCTGCCAGGTTCTACGTTTCTCTTAACTGACTGACTGTTAATCAATATTCTTCATCCTGTTATTCATAGACTATCTACACATAATATATTTATTTCACTGAATTTAAAAACTGTTCCTTAAAAATCTTCAGCTATTGGAAAATAGTGGCTTAAACATTGAGCCTAGCAGCCAATTTACAAGCTCTATCAGGAAATTAATAGAAATTATCAAGCGTCAAAAAAGTATGCATTAAACGAGAGTCCAATCATTTTCGGGTGCTTCCTTTGTAAATAGTATTAACCATGAGTATTCGGGATGCGATCAAGATCATATTCATCATCCTGATTGTCATAGGACAAAAGAATGAAATAAATTAGGGTTCTTAGAGTGTGGTGATTGGAAAATAACTGACTGTCGGTGTATGGATGGCAATGTTAAGCTAATAAAGTCAGAGACAACTAAAATAATGCTTAATTAAATAATTCATTAATTAAATGCAGGCTTTCTTAGATGTCAGAGGTCCTTAAGCTGCAAACGAGTAAGAGAGTTGAAGCTATTTTCATTTATAATCTCACAATCGATAACCAAGTGGACACTGTCTTGTCGATTAAAATTATTCGGAGAATTGGGGTGACAGCGAGTTTCGTTAAATACTAAAACATTTGCCCTTCAAATCTCCATTAAACTAACAATAATAAAAGTTATTATTACCACTATTACTATACTCACAAAATGACACTGAAGTAATAAGAAAATCACCATTTTGAAAACATCAGGCGAGAAAATTGATATTAAACTCCAATTTTAGGAATCTTAACATGAAAACGACATCATGTAACTGCTGTCATCATGAGACGTTTTATGAGTGAATACTAACAAATTTATTTATATATTCGGTAGTTTATTAAATGGTATTGCTACATTATGGATTTGTTTAATGTGATACAATAAATGTAAGTAACGTGCCATATATATTTATCTAGCACAAGAATTGAAAAGAATTAAAATTAAAGTTGGAATTCACCAGATGACAGTATACTGAACTATCCAAAACATTATCAAAACAAATAATTTGCAGAAAACAATGTTTGGAGCTCGACTAAACTGTTTCAGAGATACGGAAACCATTAAAAATACATGACAAAAACATATTCAAGCCAGAGAACCTATTGTTTTATGATAACCTTACCAAAAAACTGCAACCAACTATGACAAAAGCCTCTGAACTTCAAGGTAGAATACATGGGAATAGTACCAGTAGATGTCACTGTCTTAACACTATACAAAGATAAACCTTGTCTCCACTGGTTTCATAAATAGTCACGACTATATAGATGTGTTAAACTGTAACGAAGGTTCAGAAAGAAGGATAAGTATAGATAAGGATCATCGGACTTGAGAAGTGCAGAGTACACGCAATTAAGTTATCGTATCACTAAATCATTAGTCCATACATTATCGTAGTCACACGATAATGCCTTCATTCTTTAGGTAAAAAAAAAACTTTATTGGATTATTAGATCAAGTAACAGTAAACGAAGTTTATTTAACCACTGGTAATTTGAAGCAACAAGAACAGTGGATAAGATATAAGATAACTGCATTCATCACACAACTTCAATGCTTTCATTTTAGTTTCACAGGATACAACCATTGCTGAAGATATTGATATTAAATAAAATGTGATTTGCACTAAGCAACTTCAAGTTTCATTTACGAATCATATTTCGCTAAAAGTCATATTCGACAGTGTTAATATTGGATTTTAAAAACAATAACGTGAATTTTAGATAATTGCATAAAAATAACTAGATTGCACTAACAAAGTGAATTTGGTTAAAAATTGGTAACCTAAGGATCCAACCGAAACAAAGAAAAGCTATGAAGACTATTTTAAATTTATAGTTGAGTAAAATGTTTTAAACTGATGCAATTACGTGAAACCATTGTATAGTTAAATGTTTTGATGAACGTTAAGAAGACTAATAACACTTTCAAGATAGATAACCGTATTTCCATTAGTATGCATTTTATTCAGCTTGTGATTCGTTACAATAATATGGACGATTATTAACACAATGACGTAGTGGACGATCGAAAAATTCAATCTCTTTCGGAATTTCATTCTATATATTCCGTGAATTTAATGGTTTACAAACCCAAATTACAAACAATATATCAAAGTTGTAATATTAATAAACACTTATCAAATAGTCCAGGAGTATAGTGATCCCAGAAGTTGATAGGGTTCATAACTTACTAGATGATTTGTTGTGGGGTGGTTATAAACATTTATATATTCATACTGACTAATTCATTCAACACACAAGAGCAATAAGTTTTGAACAAATTCACTTTTGTAAACAAATTAAGAAATTTACAAACTTGATTTCATCAATACTATGTTCTTTCCCTCCATCGATAAGTTCGATCAATGTAAACGAGAATTCCACAAACTATTAGTATTTACCCTGAAGAAGTCCAAACAAGTTTGCTGGACGAAACGTTGAAATTATTTAAATTTCAATCGCTGAGATTATTTGAAATATAATTTTCACATATTATTAGTATTTATGTTTTTAATACTTGTGAGAACATAAGTTTTGAATATGGATCGAGAGATCAAAAAATGTCTTGGGGAGGATAAAGAGTATGATTAAGTAAACCAAAACACCATACCAAAAGCAGAGTGAAATTAGCTATGAACACAACTTATTAAACCTAAAAATGAACTTAAATAAAATATCCAAATTAATATTTAGTCTACCTTTAAAAAAAATAAAATTTACAAAATTTTATTAGCCAAAGAGATGTAATTGTACACACGAATGAATGAATGACAAAACTTGGAAATTAAGTAGGAGTTTTTGAATCAGAGATAGGAGTCAAAGACAGTGTACTGCTGAACTAAAGTACAAAAGATCTATGACGACTAATGATACTGCTTTTTAATCAATTTATTAAACATTATAAGTGAACAGAGAGGTTAGGATATGTTCTTCATTTTTTTAATCAGTAGATCAAGAAACAGGCAAAGACACTAACTGAAAAGCCATAACCTACTGTGTTTAGCAATGGTCTACTCAGAAATAATGTTTACCTCTCAGACATCGATTTGTTTAATGGTCGAAGTTCTTATTTTGGTTTATATATATATATATATATATATATATATATATATATATATATATATCTTTGAGCCCCAATTAATTTTGCTTTAATTTGGAAAGGTGAACCCGTGTTTAAATCATATCCATACAAATACAATTGATAACAATATACTATTTTTATTCCTAGGAACTACTTTCCATGGATGATCAAGAGCAACCACATGCAGAAGTTGTATTCATGGGAGAAGCCCAAGTGGGGAAGACAGCTTTAGTCCAACGAATAATCAAAGGGTCAAGTTATTTTTTATGGAACGATAAATATGAACCTACAATTGAAGACTCGTTCGTCAGAGAATTTATAGTTGGAGGAAATTTATGCAGATTGAGACTTATTGACACTGCAGGAAGTTACACATTCCCAGCAATGAATAGACTGTGGCAACGAAGAGCTTCTGCATTTGTATTAGTGTGTGCAAGAGATAACCCATCAAGTTTAGACAGGATAAAGACGATTTTACAAGAAATTCAGGATGAAAGACAAGAAAATTACAGAAAATTAATAACAGTGATAGTTGTCAATAAGAGTGATATTAGAGAAAGTGAATGGATGGTAAAAGATGAGGATGTTGAACAACTAGCAGAAAACTTACAGATACCTTTTAGTTCAGTTGTCACTGCATCAGCTCGTGACAATTACGGTATGATTGAAATTTTAAAAGTACTATGGGAACAAAATCAAGAAGCTGGAGAGAACAGAATTTTATTTGATTTGCTGCCTTTTAAGTCTGGTAAGGCTGATGAAAGAAGAAGAGCAAGTGCATTTGCAGTACTTTTTGGGAATTCGTCATCTAAGGGCGCGACAGTTCTTCACATAGGACACAATCAACGTCCTAGGCATTCTGATGCACAAGAAAGCAATAACATGGCACTGGACACAAATACTAAGTTTCAAAATGTAAATTCATTTGGAATAGCATTTATGAGAAAACTAGGGCGACTAAGTCTTGGTGGACATCGCAGTAATAAACGAGACAAATCAAGCCGAGAACCTTCTGTTATTAAACCAGACTGTAATGTATCTTAAAAAACTATACATGACTGTAATATAAAATCTTTAATTTAAGTATATAAATGCTTTTTAAAAACGTAGCCATTAGAAACAGTTGGTTTAGAATGTGGAGCTTAGGCAATGAATCACAACCTAAACAAAAATATGTGGTCAAACTAGTGTCAAGTGCAAAAACACTAGAAACACAAACATATGATGGTTAAATTTTTGGGTTATAAATATTACCACCAATATAAACACAAAAATGTTATTTGGTTTCACTTACATCAGAAAAAAACAATAATAGAAGGAAGTGGATTGAGTTATGGAATAGTACATTTAGCAAATCTTAGTCTAAAATACGAATCAGTCAATTTATATTAGCTTGCTTGAGTGCAGTAGAACGTGGATTTTGTTGATAAATCATAATTTCTGCAAGCATACAGGTTGTGGGCTTTTATAGAAGAACAGATTCATTGGACATTTATTTAAATATATTATATCATGCAGTAGTAGTAGTAGTGTAATGAAAAAAGACTTGGTGGATAAAACTAACTTATTGTTTACTGCAAAATTACAGAGTTCCTTAGTAAAATATGAAAACCAAAATTAAATACTTTATTTGCAAATCTTCCACCAATTGTCCTTTAACGAAATTAGTGCAATCTTACTAATAAAAATACTAGATTTTATAAAATAGCAGTTAATATGACTAGGAAAGATAAACTTACTGCGAAAAACACCTTAATATATATAGTCTGCATGGAACCTTAGAAAGAATAGAATGAAGTGACATTAGTCAGTTACAATCAACATAGATACGTAAAAAGTACTAGATAAATAAGCAGGAATTAGTGAGAGGAATAGGGGCCTCAAAAACGGGGCAGATTTTCGGTGGACGGAACTAAGAATTCAAAATACTGATAAAAAACAACCTCTACGGTAATTTTAATTAGTTCAATGTTTTAATCCAATAAACAGTGAAATATTTTAATGTACATCGAAAATGTAGTACGTATTTGCTTAGATAATACTGTAATACATGAGGAAACGACACTTTTCTAGCATATAATATGAAGAGGATTAAAGTTAGAAAAAATTGATAAAAATTCCTAAAATACAGGTCTGAAATAGGACCCATTCATATCAGATTATGCCAACTTTTGAGTCTTCTGGCACTGTATACCTAACTTAAGTCAGCTTACTATTAATCCAGTGAATTTAAACAGTAGTTTCGGAATACTTCTGTTTAAGAATATTGAAACATAAAACCATAATTTTGTTCCATTCAGTTACCTATCAATTACACTTTTAGATCCATGTATTTTCAACTATGGAGCTCTCCTACTAAAATAAATTATCACCTTTTTCTGCATTCTGTATGTGGATACTTCTAAAATCTCTTGAAATCTTTCATGTCTTATAATGAGCAATATAAAATAAAATGATTTTATTTTTAAGATTGAGATTTAACACATCACTTGCAACTTACTTCAGAACTGAAATGTTACTTACATGAGCTTAAGTTATCTTTGATTAGTACAATCAGCAAATTAGTTAAGTAATCCATCTATTTTGCCTACATAATTACGTCAATTCTGAACATTCTTAATTTCTTAAAAAATCAAAGTGCTAAAAGTCGGTTATCAACTTCCTTTCATTTGTGATGTTTCCTGCCACACAACAAACTCTAGTGCCCTCGAAAGGTGAGTGAACAAATAATCACACGTGCCTCGAAGTTCCGCAAACTAAGGGCATCGACAAAACAAAGGAAATATGAGTAATAATATCAAGGATATTAAGGAACTGAAATAACATGGCGAAGTAGGCCAGCTAAGACTAAAGATGAGACAATCTTTAAGACTTTGAGGGAAATATTGTGAAGCAAGATTGATTTCAAGTTATGAAACTTACTGAGTACAATTATTAAATGTAGTTACCCCCTCATGAATATTGACTGTAAATAGTTCACCTACAGAAACGACTTAGTCAAAACCAGTGAATTTATGGACTAATGAGATTTCTTGGCCTAGAGAGCCTTAGTCTTCCTCTTATCTACCACTTCTAACGGAGTTATTCCATCAAGCGTGACTGCATTGGTGTTCTCCGTTTTGTATCTGAGGGTCGCAACTATTACCTTGTGTATTTTGAGGTCCACTAATGCAGAGGCTGTTGATACACTGTTTGCCTTGACCTGCATTTGATGCCGTGTATGAAATAGAAGAGCGAGGTCGACTATGAAGTCCAAATCGTCTAGTTGACTCCGAGCTGTTCATTGTAGTCCGTGCTTACCCTGAACTGTGGGGTTTTCATAACCCAATCAACTACCAGAAGAGAGAGAAAGGGGAAGAGTAAGCGGCTATTGCAATATGTCTGCCAGCTGTCCTCCATACAAGACTTTGTAGTGTAGTCCGTAGTATGAATTCCGGATGATGATGACCATTTTCTCAAGTACTCCGTAGTGTGGAAGAAGTTTCTATAGAATCATCTTATCCGAACTGTCGAAGGCTTTCTCATAATAAAGGAGTTTGATGTACAGTGACGAGTTTCATTGATTGTTCAACGATGATCCGTGGTGTCACGATATGGTCTGTGCACAACCGGTCCTTACGGAATCTAGCCTGTTGATCTCAAAACTGGGCGTCTACTGGATCTTTGATCCGGTTCAGCAACACTGTTGAAAACCTTTCCTGGTAGTGGTAATAGTGTGATGCCTCTGTAGTTCTCACATTTGCTCAGATCTCCTTTCTTTGGCACCTTGATGAGGTATCCGTCTTTCCAGTTTGTCGGTGGCACTTATTTTTCCTCCGAATCTTCCTGGATCCAACGTGAAGCATACTTGCAGTTACTTCTATGCCCGACTCTAACGTTATTCTTCACTCGTTTTTATGCTTTCGCGTATTTGGTCTGTGTAGTGGCTTTCTCTGCTACTGTTCGGCTGTTGTTAATTACTGTCTTCTTGTTCTCCCTTTCTTGAATCTTGTTCAGGGTTTCTATAAAGATCCATTCCTTATGATGATGCTTCTTGCGGACCAGGACCTCCTGACGCGTTGAGGTTAGTGCTTCTTTGGTCCCTTTCCAGTTGTCCTCCATAGTAGTTTCTTCTTCAGTGGCTCCTGTAAGGCTTGGAACCTGTTGTTAAGAGTTACCTTGAATTCGTTCAGTTTGTCAGTATCTCGAAGAAAGGCTTACTGAACGTTTGTAATGCTGTTTGTTCAGTTTTTCAATGCTTCTCTAGCGTCAATTTCATCTTGGCCACAACTAGGTGGTAATCTGAGGCTGTTTCAGATCCTCTTCTGGTTCTCACGTCCTCCATTGACCTTGTGATGTTTTCCTGATGCAAATATGATTGATCTTCATCGTCATCATTGCCATCATTGGTGAGTGCATAACACTGGATAACATTCATTGTAATTCGCTTCTTCTTTGTTATGAAGGATGCTTTGATGGTCGTGGGTCCATGAGATTCCCATCCTATAAGTGTATTTCGTGCTTCGTTGGGCAGCATCAGAGTAACTCCTAGAGTTTGTGGAGTATTTTTCTCTTCGTGACCGGAATACAACAGCATCTCTTCCGTACCTAACCTTTGCTGCCCAGCTTGGGTCCAATGAGTTTCGCTGAATCTGAGAACCACCAAGTTGATTCGCCTCATTTCGGTTGCTATTTGACTGATCCTCCCGGTTTCTTACGTTGTCTGGACGTTCCATGTATCTAAAAAAATTGTTGTTCTAGTTGTTAGAAGAAACATTGGTCTCGTGACTTCCAAAGAATCTCGGCTTTCATCATGAGGAGTTATAATTCTTCCTTCAACCAAAAGAGTTTGAGTGGTTTAACTTGTTTAGCAAGATTGTTCTCTATGGTTCATGTTTGCCGACCCCAAACCCAACCCTCCTTTGTGTGGGCTTGAAACCGGAAGTAGCCCTAGAAGAGCTACAAAAGGAGTTATTTATATTGAAACTTCTCTAAATATTATTTTCTTAATGCCATTGAAATTTTTAATGATTTTTTCTAGTAGTGTTAGAATAAATGATGCGTCTTGAACCAATGCAAGTCTTTTCCGGACCATGTGCTTTTTTGACTGAGTCCAAAACAATAAATATAAATAAAAATCTGCAAACGATATCAAGTTAGTGTACTCCATCATATTCAAAATCGTTTTGTTTGAATCAGTAATAATAATCGGCTATACAAATTGAAGTAGGGTGTGGGTTTTGAACTTATAACTTAATGGTTGAAATAAGTATGGATAGCTATGTAGTATCGGTAGTCTTCAGAATGCAAGTGTCAGATATCAAAACTAGGAGCTTTTCCACATATTTTGCAACACGAATCTGTTTTATATACTATGTACACCAAAAATATCGGAGGAAACAGTTATGCTGAAGTGTTAAAAAAAGAAACTAATATGGAGAGCCCCCAAATGACCTGATATGACCGAGGGTGGAGGGAGTCAGCTCTCCCTTTAGAAATGCTCCCACAAGGCTACGCGTATACATCCACTGCCATAGAATCTCTACTCACTGCCTTCTCGCGTTGGGATGTTATTCACGTGATTGAGAGGATGAAAATCGAACGTCCGGCAATTTAACCGGGTTGGTGAATACGGAGTATCCACATAGGGGAGTTGGAAAACCCTGATTCCAAATCAACGATGCACATGGGCTCCAGGATCCTGAAGGGACAAATGGCATATGAACTAATCGTTAGTCACCGGCTACCATGGGACTGCATCTCCACTATCTTGTGGATTAGACTTCTAAGTCAAAGGCCCGGGAAGTGGCCCCCTAAGGAAAGCACTTGTTCTGATTTGGGGAACCAGGAAGTATTCTAGCCCTCACACTAATCGAATTATTTGTACGGCGCATAAATGCTTGTTTCCTCGTAGTATCAATTTGTATGTGTTTAAATATGAGTAAACAAATAAATATTAGGAAATACTAAACGAACGAACTACATAATAGAAACAGGAACTGTTTGCTAATGCTTATAGATATCCTGTAAGATTACATTCCCGATGGAATAATGACATAGTTATGTTGAAGGATCAATAAGAAGGTGTGTACGCTTGATTACAACACTTCACAAACGAAATATACTCGCATGATAGATAATGGCAACATAAATAACGATACCACCAATCAAACGATTTGAATTAAAGATATCTGACAGACAATTATCGAAACAAAGCTAATGCACTGCTCACTGTTTGATAACAGGGAGTCTAACGTTTTGAAATTAATTCATTTAGAACTATGATCCAAATTATTTGTCAAGAGCTTGTACAAACCAATCGATTTTTTGCGTTCGCTCCTTGTTGCCTTGGTACGAATAGATCTAGAATTTTTTATCCTCAGACGATCCTTGTTATAAATGAGGAAAGGAGATTATGTATTTAAGAAACGTTATTAATTTTTGAAAACGACGAAGCTCAACAAAAAGAGTACAAACCAAGCTATTTTTGAGTACCGTAGATTTGTTTGTTGGGGAAAACTTTATTACAACCTGATAGATTATTCACAGATAAGAAAAATACCAGATTCTAACAAAATAAACAGTCACCCTACATTTTGAGGTAACACAGGTCCACGAAATTCCGCCACTTCAACATCGTTAGTGATCGAAATCCAATTTCCAACAGAAGGATCTGTAGACAAGAAAGCTTGAAGAGGGCTTTACATGTAACAAGTAGGTAGTGAGGTTAAAAAGGGCTCGAACTGAATATCAGTCTTTTTATGAACTATTTTTGTAGGGCTCCCGCGTAGGTTGTAAAGATGGCCCTCTGGAATTATCTCTGTTGAGATGGTCGGATAGTCTAAGATGTAACATGTCATGATGCGAATGTCTCTCAGCCCCTTGCATCTTTATCAAAAAACTAATGTCTTTCCCATTCTTTTGTGTAAATGTTTCTTATATGGGCTGATTTATAACCTGGTAGGGCTAGTGAGATATCACGGTGACCAAAACAAATCATCCAGCAATCTGGTCAGTGAATGCCAAAGATTTACCGATACTCATCATGGTCAAGAAAAAGCAACGCGCACCATCCATTTGCATGCCATGGATTTAGTCCAGTGTAAATATGCTCGAAATTGTCACACCAAGTTAGTGTATCATGAACCGAAATAACAGTCATGTTTTCATTCATGTAGTCAGTGAAACTGTCATATTATGATGTAATTTTCATTTTTAAAAGACTGCACTATGCCGCGAATTCATCCATGACAATAAGTTCTATTCATCATTTCGGGACGTATAACAAGCTGGAATGATATCCAAAGTAGTGATTGTTTTGGAAGTAGACTGACAGTGAATAAAGGAAAAAGGTATGAAGCTAAGTTCAGTTCTTGCAATTGTGCCGTTACCAATGTTTTGATTTCCAAATGACTATGGTCATTAAGCTTGAACAATATAGTTCATCGTATTGGCCCATATCTTTTTAGGTTTATAGAATTAATTATCTATATTCAGCTACTTTAAGTAAAACATCTATTCAGACGAAGCACATATACGACACCATTCAGGACACTTTTTAGTAGTTTTCGGTGGCATATTTCGAAGGGGCCTGAAAAAGCCTAGCAATGGGTAAGATTTGATATGTCAGAAAGCGAATATGACAACAGTTATTTATACTTTCACTCTAACTATGGCCCTCGTCTTTCTTTTCTGACCGAAACAACAGATAAACTCAGCGCACTGATTGCGAATTTCTAACTTTTTATCGTTCAACTTGCTTTCACGCGACAACTGATCTAATAATGCTAAATTTTCAAATACGAAACCCTTTCAATTGTTCGATAGTATTTTCAACTTGGTTCCGGGTTGTTAGGTACCCGGGTCTCATAATATTCTCGTATATAACAATGGTATTCATACCAGGACACTCAGTATTTCTTTTACTCGTCGACGGATGAAATGAGACTAATACTGATTTTAGTTTTAAAAAACGATTACGCTGGAGTCTGATATCTAGATAGTAAGGAAAATATCTACAAAGCAACACTAAAAACGAAATGGAATAACATAACTCACGTAAGCATGCCGGAAAGAATATACCGACATGAATAGTAGCAGCAGAAGACGAAAAAATAAAACTGACTAAAAATACTAGTGCTAACATTGAGAGTATGACGTAAATTACCGAATTTCTGTACGATGAGGGAATAAAATTTGCAGCGTCACGAAAAAACTAAGGGAAGATCACAAGACTAGGCACCCCGACTATCACTGCTTTCAAAGATGGAGAAATTGGTAATTCCCATTTTATTCTGAATGGTCGCTAAGTAGACTGCTAAAATAAGGAACTAGAGTTAGGTTTGTTTCTAGTTAACTGGCCTATGAGGTATGAGTTAAACTCTGCTTCTCGCACCCACTCTAACCAATATATTTTTGGTATAACTTTGTATTGTACAGTCATTAGCGTAGTCATAGTTCCTAGATACGATGGAGTAGTGATCCATGAGAGGTATAAACTTTGAGGTGTTATTTTGATGTAAGCTGGTTGGTCATGGTATTCCTATCCAACCCAAGCGGGCCCTCAGTCATAGACATAAATCGCCTATGTTGGTGATCTAAAATATTATAATATAGTTGTTATTCGTTAACTCCCATATGATAAAGAATCTATATTATTTCAGAAACCTCACAATTCTGTCAGTTCGAGGCGCTTTTTTGGGTAGTTCAGTTTTCTTCTTCATTGGATGTACTCAGATACATCATAGTGATATCAAGCATTTCGGCACTAGCCATTACAAACGTGTTACCGATTAGAAGAGGTTTCCCGCTAACAAAATTTCTTTTCACACCTGAATTATTTTTATGCTCCATTAAAGCAAGAAAAAGCAACCTGACACTTGTCTATAAAACTTGAAGTGTCTAAAGAGGATCTTGACAAAGCATGCTCTGATATCTTGCAGTAATACTTGCCAGAAGACTAATGAGGGCCAGGGTCACATTTGTTGAAGGTGGTGCAGAATTTACGTCCACTTTCGTTATTAGTACCGCTCTAATAATAAACCCAATACCGAATTTTAGATTTGTCATGATGTGATCAGCTAATCTTTAATCTCTCATGTGGAAGTCACATCATTGTCTACACTGACTCATCATATCGTACCAAACAACAAAATGATACTCAGTACATCTGAAGAACACATTTGAGCTGAATGCAGGATAATATATTTAATGTGAGTAAAGACAAGTTATACAGAATGACCACGCCTACAAGTCTGAGTCATTCCATCCAGTCGAACTGAATTTGTGTTCACGCGTTCTCCATTGTCGGCCTTTTATTCTTGTCAGTTGGTGAACACATTTCTATCCAGCAATTATATGCTCGGCTTCATGGGTCGTTCGATTAGGGTTCAATGTCATTACAAGTTCGACACTGTTGATTAACTTGCGAGCAGTTGTTTGAATAATTCGAGTGCGTTATATCTGAACACTCCAAATATCTATCTGTTTTGTTGACTATCTATCCATCTATCTGGCTATCTAAATATGCCATAGGTATTCGTATTTTGACAACGCCTTTACACGTAACACCCACATAATCAACGTATACGAAGCTAGTCAAATCAGAAGTCAGAAATAGAGAGGTTCAAAAATTTATTTGTAAAGCTATCTATATGCCGAGAGGCGTTTGGTCTAAGCTGACTAGCAGCCTTAAGTAATGCGTAGTACGGCGCACCCACTCGTGATCTGGTGCGGATGTGTAACCAACCGCCTTCACCTAAGTGTGTCCAGCAAAATTTTTGAGTTCTGCATCACTGTCGGAAACCTACGGAACTACATATTTCAGGGGGTTCTTTACCACTACGCATCTATCCACCTACATATATTTATTTGTTTATCTATCTATCTATCTATCTATCTATCTATCTATCTATCTATCTATCTATCTATCTATCTATCTATCACATTATATTACTATGAAGATGTCTAAATATTCGATCCACTTTGAGTAGCTGACACCACGTAGTTTAAATTCTTTTCAGTAGTATTCAGATTAGACCAGTTTAGTGCAGTTCTGGATTTATTTCACTACATCACAATTGCTAGACATTATATTGTCAGATTTATTTCTATTCCTATACAGTTGATAGTAATTCTAAGTGTCAGAGTCGATATAAATCCAATCCAATTACAAAGCGGTCATAATCTGGTGTTATTTCAATGCTACTTTCACTTGTATTCAGTAATGTCTACCTAGTCTTATTGTGGTTGTTTATTACTGATATATAAGCTAGTAAAGCAGTTTTTCCACATATATTCAGGAACGCTTATCCCCTAAATCTTACCCAATTCACTTCTCCTCGGTCATAAAGTGTTATAATAACGAATATAACGCATCAATAAAGACCTAGAACTGTACTTAAACAACAGGAAGTGAACACAAAAATACCGTCTGAAGATGCCGCAAGTATTGGGAGTTTCATAACACTTTATTCAGTAACACCCATAATTTAATCGCGCCCACCCAGTAAAATCAAGAGTCAGGAGCGAGGAAATTCGAAAATACATTTCATAGGTAATCAATATATCGAGAAGTGACTGATCTAATTTGGCTAGTGGTCGCACGAGAAGTTGAAAACGGCGTTCTCACTAGTGATTTTGAGCGGATGTGACCAGACTCCTTCAGCTGGGTGGATCCATCGAAACGAATGTTGTCAACATCTAATGTCGAAGACTTGTAGAGCTATCAATTTTGCGGGTTTATTTACAAGTCTGTTTGTACAGTCTCGACACGAAGATATTGGATATTGGAAGCTCGGACCACTTTTTCAAACAGTTACGGCAAGGTAATGGTTCGAGGTACCTCCGTATACTTCATTAGACATCAAGATATTTGAGCTAACAATCAAATAGCATGGATTTTTATATAAAAGTCGCAACATTCGATGCAAAGTAGAAACCCTAAGCAACTTATAAGTTACAATACATGTTGATTCAGCGATGTTACTAACTTTCTTAGTTATTTTTATGTTTAGGAGCTCAGTTAACAGTAAGTGCTTTCTTCATCGTGTCTTAGTACTAGCGTTTTTCTTAATTATGATGTTTACAGAGTGGTGAAGCAGCGTCTGAACATATACACCTCCCTCTGACAACGTTTGGTCGCAACTAACCAAATGAATTGGACCTTGCATTTATTCCTTCAAGGGTTTCTAGGTACTGTTTCGTATCTTGTTATCCTTGTAGACCTGTCTAAAGCTCCATAGGTTTACGTCTTCTCACGTTTCAGGACCCTTTTTCAAAATTTCCGTAAAATTAACCTGTCTTCAGTAATAAGGATAGTAGGTTGATGAACCTGTATTAATCCTGACGCACTGCTTTCCAGTGAAGGTCCAGCTTCTCCTTGAAAGTATTCACTGATGGGGCTGATACCACTTGTTCGGGTAAGGCGTTCCAAAGATTGACTACTCGATGAGAAAAACGGAACCCCACTTTAAGTTTATTAGATCTTGGTTTATGAAGCTTCTTGCTATGACCGCGGAGATTATTAGTGCTGGAGGGAGCAAAAAGATAAGACATATTAACACCCAAATCATAATTAAAGATACGGAATGCCAGTATAAGGTCACCTCGTGTCCTACGATACGACAAGGGGAAAAGATTTAGGCGTTTTAAACGCTCATCGTAAGGGAGTCTAGAAAGACCCTTCACTAATTTCGTTCCCACACGCTGGACACGCTCAAGAGAGTTAGTATCCTTTACCAGACATGGGCTAGTTTCTTGGATACAGTACTCTAAGTGTGGTCTTACATAGGTGGGATATAAAATTCGAAACGTTTCCTCGTCAAAAGATTTGAACGCTCGGCGAAGTGACCATAACGCTCGAAAACCTTTGACAGCGGCTGCTTTGCAATGTGTAGTTGTTTTTAAATCATGACTTAATACTACTCCTAAGTCTCTGTGCTCTTGAACGCATAGTATAACGGTAACTATTACCGTGACCGATGTGCATTAGTACACTCTTCCTAGCATTGATTTCTAAACCCCACTCTCGAGCCTATCTAACTAAATCGTCTAAGTCAGCTTGAAGATAAACATGATCAACCGCACTTTTATTGTTCTCCAGATTTTTACATCAGCCGCAAACAACAATGTCGACGACCTAAGTTACAGCGGCAACTCATTAACGTAGAGAAGGAAGAGCGGGGGGACTAAGATGGTGCCTTGGGGTACACCACTTTTGACCGGCTTAACCTCTGTCCAGTGTTGAGAACTGAGGTTTGGATCCTTCTACCTCAAGACAATGTATATTTGCAATAGTTTGACAGGTTTTTAAACTAACGGTTGCGCGGTATGTGTGGCGCACAAAGTTTCATTTTCAGTTTGTAAAGGACAGTAGTCTTGATGGCCTATTTGACTCCTGGCAATGATGGTCTCTCAGTTGGTCCAACCTTCTTTTGAAAGTGTCGGTGGATGGAGCCCCAACCACGTGCTGAGGTAACGAATTCCTCTCGTTGATGACTCGATGGGAAAGTCAATATTCAGCTGACAAGTAGTTTGTCCTTGTAAATTCTCTGCTTTGGAAGACAAGAAAAATGAGGACATATCAGGTGCAGACTTATCACTAAGCAATTTGAAAACTGTAATCAAATCAGCTCTAGATTTTCGATATGACAAAGGGAATAGATTTAGCTTGACCAGTCGAGCATGATACTGTAATTTCGCTATTCCGAGAATCGGCTTAGTTGCTGTTCTCTGAACCTTTTCCAAAAGCTAACTATCTTTTTATAGACATGGGCTGGCCTCTTGTATGTAGTACTAAAGTTTGGGATGCACGAATACTGTATGCAAAGTCAGAAAGTTTTTAGCATCGACATGGTTAAAGGCCCTACGTATCAACGATAAGGCTCTAAAACTTTTGGCATCTATTGCACGACAGTGTGCAGTAGTCTTTAAGTCTTGGCTGGCAGTGATTCCTAAGTCATTGTATGTTTGGACAACAGATAGCTCAGTGTTACTCATCTTGTATGTATCTGTACCATGATGACCGATATGCATCACAATACACTTGGAAGTATTTATCTGCAACTGCCAAGTTTGAGACCATTCAGATAGTTTCTCCAGGTCATTTGGGAGTTCTAAGCTATCACCTTTGCTTTTTATCGCTCTGCATATCTTGACATCGTCAGCATATAGCAAGACTGGTGATGATAATAAACGAGGAAGGTCATTTACATACAAGAGGAATGACACTGGCCCTCAAACTGTACCCTGAGGCACTCCGCTGAGCACAGTCTCTCAGCTAGACAACTTGGAGTTCACTCGTACTCTTTGTTGGCGCCCAACTAGAAAGTATTTTATTCACATCAATAGATTCTCTCCAACCACGACATTTCTTAACTTATATAACAGCCGGTTGTGCGGAAGCTTGTCAAAAGCTTTGCGGAAGTCAATATAGGCTACGTCTACAGGTAACTTTTGGTCCTTAAGGGCTCGTCAGTTTTCACGAGCCACTAATAAGTTTATGAGACAAGAATAACCTATTCTAAAACCATGCTGCTTCTCCATAAGGATCCGGTTTTCATAGCTTCTTATGAATAATCTTTTCTAAGATTTTAACAACCACACTAGTTAGGCTGACAGGTCGGCAATTCTCAGGTTTATGTTTCGTACCTGTTTTGAAGACAAGACTTACCATGGCGTTCTTCCAGTCTTTTGTTAAACGACCCTGGGTTACGGATAAGTTAAAGCATATACTTAAATGGTTCGTAACGAAGTTAGGTAATTCTCTTAGTAGCCTAGGATGCGTCTCATCGGGTTCCGTGGATTTACCTATACCAAGCTTATTTAGCAGACCAAAGACATCGAGTTCCTTAATGGTCACGCTGTCCAGTGTTTGTGTGTGGGGATTTATATGTACTGACGGGAGAAGTGTTTTTACGGTATATACATTGCTAAGGTAGTTTGAGAATACTTGAGCCTTACCAAAGTCGTCCTCCACTAATGATGACGCGGTACTGTCTCTCCATATGGCAGGAATATTTTCTCTTCTTTTTGTCCTTTGGTTTATATAGGAATACAAGTGTTTAGGACATTCTATGGATTCCTTAACGATTTTTTCTTCGTACAACTTTCTAAACTTACGGAGGGTCGAGGCAAAGGTATTCCGAGCTTTGCGATACTGAGATTTTGTCTCATCGGTCCCCAGTAACTTAAATCTCTCCCACATTTTTCTTCTCTTACGGAGAAGTATGCGGACCTCCCTACTAAACCATGGTGGAGTTTCTCGGCCCTTTGGCATAGCCCAAGGGATTTGGGGTGCGGTAACTTTTAAGTACAAATTTCGAAATACGTTTCAAGCCGTTTCGATTGAGGACTCTGGCTCCATTGTCCAATCTACTGAGGATGCTGAGTGCATGATATCTTACCATAAAATGTTATTTAATTGTAATATGTATTGTGACTCTCCTGTTTTAGCACTTGCTATAGGATGCTTCTTTTGTCATATTTTGTAGTGATGTATTAAAAGTTTGACTTACTAGTACGTCCCTCTATAACTTTTGAAAAATACTCCCTTAACCCCTATCAAAATGTGATTACTTCTGTGAGCTAATAGTGTACAGGACTTCATTTTTAAGAGGAGAAAATAATTTCAACGTACTACAGTGACTTAAGATTGAGTGTGATAGCTATTCTGGTTCATGTAATCATTAACTATGTTTTGGAAATATTTTTTTGGCACAAATTTTCACCAACCAGAAATTCTAGACTTCCTTACTGCGCTCTACATAATACTCGTAATCTCTTAATGAAGACCCTTAATAAGATGGATTGCGATCCGTCTCTGTTGCCTATCTAAATTTGGAGTGTAGTGAATTTCCATACATTTCATTCGTTCCTCTAGAACCATGTTTAGCATGCTTCTGTTCTTAATGTTATCCTTCTCTCTGTTTCTTTTGTTAGTTTCCTCCCCTTTTTGTGGCAGTGTGGTGATTTCGGACCAGCACATGTGTGCCAGATCTTTGTTGATGTCTACATGATAACACCTAGCCAAATCCGTAGGCTTATATTGTTAGTTATAGTGTTTTTTACATATATCAAAAACATGTATGGATTGGTTAGCCAAAAACTACCTAGTACTTCTGCTAACAGACACAATATGTAATCACCGCCTACTGCTGTCATAGTCCCTTGATAATGAAGCATTATTATACATTCTTGTTTTCAAGATTTGTTCATAGAAAGGTTTTGTCACTGCATTTGGTGGTAATAATGTTTCTTTTTAAATTAAATTAAAAATAAGCCATCTTTATAAATAGATGTTTTGAGTAATCTGGTTAGGCGATGGGCTTTAACTCCTTACCATAGTTTTTGCAGCAATTGTATTCTTGTAATAAAATCGCAAAAATAGCTTCATGACCCATCACATTGTACAGGGATGGGACTATCGAGCGTTACTTTGAGCTTTTCGACAAAATGCACGTAGTTGAATTTAAATTTTGTCACCCTCCCACAGTGTCTTAACTGATCTTTAAAAAGGTACACAAATCTAATTAGTTTGTTTTTGCTTAGTGTATTATTGATAGCCTTCTCCAACTGTAACTAATAAAATCCCTTATAATTCTAGATTTGCCAGTGGTTTTCGAATTTACGGCACAAAAGTCATATAACAACTTCTAATCATGCATCTTAGAAACGCACTACGTAGCCGTTGTAACGCTCGGTTTTCTCGTCCATATGAATGGGACGCCAATTTACCTTAGCCGAATGTCTAAACTAGATATCCTCTCAGTGTCTATTCTACAGGACTTGAACAAAATTCAGATCAAAAACACGTGACTCGTCCAACTAGAGCGTAAGTATATTCCCACACCAAAAACCGACAACAATCACAATAACAATAAGGGTGGGAAAATATATAACTCATATAGTACCTGTTAGACTATCCACTAGTCTGACTAAGCAAACAACCGATCATTATCTCCCCCCCCCACGCATCATTTACATACCCTAGAGATTTTTAAGGTTGTTCGTATGTAATTTCTCCAACTAATTGTTTACTATCACTTTACGGCATAAATTCTAAATACAATATTTTCTCCTTTTGTGTTAGAAGCCGTACCATTTTTACCGTATTATGTCAACTGGGCTTGCCCTTGGTTTCGCTGTCGAGGGTGCACCCTGGCACTTGGTTTCTCATTTATTCCCAGATAAAGTTGGTGGGCGACCAGCTTGGCTAGCTCTTCAACACTTACCATCTCCTAGTGAACTAAAGTGTCCAGTATGTTTGAATCCAATGTGTTTCCTCTTACAGGTATTGTCAGCATCCTAACTACTTATACTGCCTAGATATACTCCCCTCTATCTGAAAAACCTGACTGTTTTCATCGGATGTTATTTTTATTTATGTGCCGAAATAGTGAATGTCATTATAAGCCTGATCATGTACCATTCTATGTGTTTCGATCGCAGTTATCAAGACAAAATTGCTATTACAGGTAGTTATGTATTTTGTCGTAATCCATCTATTATTTCGAAGCTTCGAGCCCCCTGAGAACGAATTTCCCAGTCGCGAAATGTTAAACTCGATGATAAAGGCTAACTCTATTCCATGGGCTGGCAAATATTCATCTATCTGCCCAATATGTGGATGTAAAGCAGACAAAACTTGTTCAAAGTGTAAAGCCACTTCTTATTGTTCTAAAATGCACCAGGTACAGCGGTTTTACTTATCCGATTAAACATATTTTCTTTTATTGAATTAGGTTCTAGACTGGAAACGGCACAAATTAGAATGTGGTTCGAAATGTCACGATTTCATGTTATTATTCGAACAAAATAGCTTCTTACTTCCTGAGTACCGTTTATGTTCTGAACCTGCAGACAACTTTTCTTCAAATGATGAAAGTACTTCAGAAGAGGTGGAAACTGACACTGAAACTGTAGACCTGGGACTTTCAAAGTAAATCAGTCGTAATGTGACTTTCTGTTATGTACAAATGTGGATGATAATTTAATCCACTACTTTTATCGTTTTATCAAAATGTGACAGTTTTACATGACACTAACCTTTGTACTTGCTTGTTTGACAAATGTTTGAAGTTATTAGGCCAAAAATCATGGACTTTGCCTTTTTTCGTGCTGACTTTTCAACTGTGTCTGAAATCCTAAAGAAACTCATGCTATATTAGTTTCAAATAAGTGTTACTTAACCCCAGTTCAAAGTTATTATTAATATGCTACTCTGTATACAATAGACGTATTACATTATAAACCATACCAACGCATCACACTCATAGACGCTTAGTGTTATTATCTACCTAATGAAACTAAAGTAAGCTTTGTTAAGACCACTGGTTTCTCAGTCATTACCCTGATTTTAAAATCACAGCCCTTAAAATTGTATAAAATATCCAACAAATTAAGATTAGAACGTGGTAGACTGGTTTACATATTAGAGGAATTAGAATAGTGAATTGAATAGTATTAAGTTAGGTCGAGCATTATTAGTACGATTTATACTCCATTAATTAATCTGTGATACTGACATAGTTTACGCTGTATACTCAAAACATGTTGCGTTTAAGATGGTTTGATAGCAAAGTACTTTCTTGCATTTATTAATTGTTGTTAGAAAGACAGCTAATGATGCAATGAAGAACTTCCTGCAAAAGTAATTGTGGGTTGTAAGAATGTGGAAAAAAACAGGGCTAATAATATCAACATGTAAGGACAAAACAAGTTATATAAAGATATGTCGAAATGAACATTTTGATTTGTGTTTCACGATATTGTCCAGTTTTTCATGAAGTAATATTTACACAATAATCGTCATATGGTTTAAATTTGTCATTTACCTACATATTTTTATGAATTTATTGGCGACTAGGGGAAATGTGGAGAAACTTTATATACAATGGTCAATAACTTTTTAGAACCAGCACTAAATCGCACTATAAAGTTGTGACTCAATCGTTTAGGTATCCGGTTTTCGAATATTGTCATGAGTTTGAGTACCGTTTCAGAGACTTTATCAGTCTCATACAATTTACCAAGCACTTCCTATATATGTTGGGCTTACACGTATCCAAATCAATGTATCGACTTAGCAGTAATCCTATACAACTGTAACCTTAGCCTTTAATCCATGCAATAAGCAGGTCTGTCTATTTCATAGCATATCTATCTTCAATTTTATTACAGTAATGTTCTTTTCTGTGAGTACTTTCAGCCATTTTCGAGTAAAGACAACAGCTTTATTTTCTTGCCACAAAAATGAAAGTGTGGTTTATCATTTTCACCAAGACGAAACACGCTAAATACTCAGGTGATATGTAATAACGTTTTCATCTTATACGTTATACTTCTGTTTCTGGTGTTAGTAAAGATCGTTTGTTTGTTTAATGTTAAAATTTTTCAGTGATTCTGAAGTTAAAGCGCTTGAATTTATAGCCAAGAAAGAGACTAAAGAAGAAGCCAGATTTAGAATGTTTAGAGAAGCAATGAAATCGGCTCCTGACCAAGTAATTACATATGTATATTCTATGTTAATGTACCGTTAATTGATTCAACCTAGTACTAATTTGTGATTCATAAATCCTCAGGTTATTTTTCTTGATACTCTTTTAAATATCCAGTAAAGTTCTAGACATTTTCTTTGTGGTTTAGTACAGTTTAGTTAACTCCAATAAATCGGTGTTGAAGTTATCCCTACACTACAAAAATCATTACATTACTGAAAGGCACATGTGTGGATCTTAGTCATAAGACTTTACTTCACTTGCACACATAAATATTGGTACAAAGGAGCACTGAATATATATGCGCCACATAAGTCACTTGATTTGTGTGTGGGCTGAGATACTGCTCGGGTGCCAAAACCGAAGCAGCTAGTGTGGATCTTACGGTGTTTCGACTCAGCGAACAGATAATGGAAACTGTTTGCTGTAGCTATACTCGTATAACCGTCGACTTTTGGGGAACACCAATTTTGAACTTGAAGAGAAAAATCATCTGACGTGGAGACCCTGACAATTGACTCATCGATTAACTCAGATAGATCACATTGCCATTAGCCATCATTGAAGGGGCTCAATAGAAGACTGTCGCTTACTATGGAGTACATTTTTAGACTTGGATCATGTTCTAGTTTGAGAACGTATTTATCTACGTCTTACTGGACATAGAAATGCTACCGTTAAATACCCCTTGGATTTCAACTAATTATGAGGAAGTTAAGGATATTTTTCAGGGACAAACGGTGCAGAGAGTTCACCGTAAAGGTGATATCCACCCCGAGGCAGCTTGGTATGATATTCAAAAAGCTTTGGAAACAACAGTGATGTATACTAATATTTCAACCAAAAGGTTTAAAAAATCAGTGAATTCAGAGACGTCGACAGAACCGCTTGGAAACATATCCCATCTGGCTCCAAGTACGGTAAAGTGCAGAGGCAACTTAAACGAACGCTGATAATAACCTGCTTAATGATCGTGAGCATTGGTATGTGGCAAAAGCAGAAGATATGGACAAGGTAGCGGCGATAGGTAACAGTAAGCAACTGTTCAGACTTATCAAGGAAACAGGTATTAAATATATACTTGTTAGTGAAACTATCTTAGAAAGAGACTGGGCTATTGTTCTCTCGCGATCCAGGAGATTAAACCGAAGGGTAGAACACTTTAGGGAATAGTTCGAGTGGACTTCAGTACAATTCACTTACCCATTATTTTCATGCATTTTAAATGACGAATGGACATACATCTTTTAACTCTTGATGGTGCTGAGAAGGTTACAGGAAACCTGAAGCGAGGAAAAGCAAAAGGGTCTGACGGTTTAACCTCTGAGATTTTTGAGAGTGGTTGTCCAGTTTTAACAGTTAGATTAACTGAAGTTTTAGCCAAAAACTGAGAACTGGATGTAATCCCATCAGACTAGATTTGATTACTGACCGTCCTAGTTTATAAGAAAGGACTAAAATACTTTTGCAACAATCACAGAGGAATCAGTTTAATTAATTTAGTGTCTGAAATACCAGCCCCAATGATATTTCGACGTCTAACTCGAGCTCGTAATGAGCAGACCCCAGAAAAAAACTAGGATGGTTTCTGACCTAGACGTAAATATACAGATCAAATATTCTCGTTTCGGCAGGTTCTGGAAAATAGACAAACTTTTCGACGCCTTAAGGTGGCTTTCGACTCTGTTAGTTCATGGAGTTCTGTGGGAGTGTCTGCCATCGAAAGGCATACCGAAGTACGTAAACCTTGTACACAGGCTCTCTATTCGGACAATGCTGGTCGAGTCAGAGCTTATGGCGAACTGTCATTAGGATCGGTTACTTCAAGTGGTGCTCGGTAGGGTTGTCTGCTTCCTCCATTTTTATTTAACTTTGCCATAGACATGTTTTTAAAGATAACACTTTCATCGTCTGAATTTTCAGGGTTTGATCTACCAGGAGATTCACTTGTTGACTTAGAATACTCAGATGACATAGTTCTGTTTGGTGAATACGTTGATTAAATGCAGTCTTCCGTTCACCTTAAGCAACAATGTAAGCATATTTGGTTTGTGATTCTCCTCCTCCAAAAGTAGAATGTTGCTTCAGGACCAGCCTGCGTCTACTCCCGAATTAATGATAGGGAGTGCGTCAGTTGAATATATCAACCGCCCCACTCATTTTAGGAGTTTCATCAGTCTTGATGGTCTGGAGTCTAATGAAATCTCTTTACGGATTCGAAGAGCTCGATCGGCTCTTTTGAACTTTCGTCATTTATGGCATAGGCGAGACATCCGTCTGCCAACTAAGGTGCGAGTATACTACACGGCAGTTCGCTCCGTTCTACTTGGTGGTTATGAAACATAGCCTTTAAGAGCAGGGACTATTCGTAGGTTACTGGTATTCAACCATATATGTCTTCGAAGCATCACTCATGTATTGTGAGGCCAGTGAGTATGCGATCCGTAGGTTACGAATGGGGTACTAGATAATAGTGAGAAGTTTATTGATGAGGTAGTTAATCCTCATCTGGTGAGGTGATTAGGACATGCTACGTATTCCCACCCACTGTCTACCTCGAAGAGCGATATTGTCTGGTGTAGTGGTGACTATATGAATGATATTTGTCTTGCTCATGATTCGGACATTTTATACACGTACTAATTGTTGCTCTGGTTTTCAGAATGGGCATCAGTCTTGTGGCTAGCGAAGATAGCTTTCACCGTGAGGCGTTATAATTCCTCTTCCTAGAAACCATCAACAGCTTCATAGGGGCTGCATGTGGAGTTTGGTTTTAGACACAGTGTACTAGATGCAAGTCATAGATCACTTTAAGTTGTCAATTTGCGAGTTTTCAGCTACAATCCAGTTCAGTCCTGTTTGATGAATGTCTTGAACCCCTAGACTACAACACAACATTAGTTCAGGAAGTCAAGTGGTCACTTTAATCCGTGTACCAAGTTGCTAACTTTGCATTTAACGTCTTTTGGGTGGTCGTAATTAATGATTACAGATTTTGGTCAATCTCTGGAGTTTTTTTGGTGTAACAATTTCTCATCTTTCCCTAAGTTGTAGGCATATTATTGTCCCACCATATCTGTTCTTACTCATTTCTGTTCGTTGTTTTCTAAGCTTCTCATTTCAATCGGTATTAATAGTTTCTTATCTTTTTGAAGTGTGTTAACTCGTGACATTGTCAAGTCATGTGTTGTTTATAGCTATCTACCATAAATATTCCTTATTTGTTCTTGTTTTTATTTAGGTCGTACGATTTCATAGAGGTGGTAAACCCATTTGGCTGAGTAACGATCCTGTAGAAGTTGAAAAATGTGAAGTTTGCGGTTCCGAACGTGTTTTTGAATTTCAGGTATGACTTTTAAAAACAGTTAAAGTTAATTTCGTTCCATGTTCTACGTTTTTAAAGTATTGTAGTTGACTTCAAACTAACCATATAGTTTTATGCATAAAAGTATGTAAATGAAAAATTTAAGTGATGTAACGTTGTCCATCGTATAATTGTATGGTAATCCATGACATTATTAGAATCATTTATTTGCACAGTAATATATTTGATCATTATATGCCAGTAAAATTGATGCTTTAATCCCAAATGTTAGTCAAGGTTCACTTACAAAGGATTTGTGCGATATGCTTACTAAGACAGTTATTTCAGTGTGATAGACTGTGTTGAGTGTGAACTAGTGTTATACATCAAACCTCATTCCCACGATTACTGGTAAGTTGGTTTAAGGAGTTAGTCGTCAACGCCAACAAATCTAATCTTTCAGCTATTTTTGAACTGTACACCACGTTTAAAGTCCTTCTCAACATGTACCAGGAAACAGACAAATTTGCATAGGATTCAAGAATGCTACTCTGTATATGGTTTGTGTACCCTAATAACTCATACTAACGATTCAAATAAGTCACTTCTATTATTCTTAAAGCATTTTTACAATTTATTTTTATTATTTATTTGGACGCATAAATATTGGAACAAGAGTGCGCCAAATATATATGTGCCACACAAAACAATGAGAATTTAAAGAGAAGGAAAAAAGGTAAAGAGTGTAAAAGAAAAAGAGAACAATAACGAACAGATTGGTGTAAGGTAGTGTAATAATAATAATAGTAATACTGAGGGAACGGAAAGGTACAATCAGAAGAAATCTTTCAGTTAAGGAAGACACAACCCCTTTTTATGATGAAAGTAAAAGAAAGTTACAGCAGGATCGCCATTGGCTTCTATTCTGAGCCATATCTGATAACGTTTCTAGCCACTGTGTTGCACCATATCTCGGACCCCAACCAGGGAATCGTAAAGGATCAACACAAGCCAGTCCTTTGCATCTTTCTTTCATACCACGACACCATGTCATATACTGACCACCTCTCCGCTTTTTCCAACCAGTCCCAGCGTCGGCAAATAATGAACGGTGTGGAATTCTCTGGGACGACATTCGTAGAACATGTCCAAGCCACCAAAGTCGGTGTTTCAAGATGGTGACACCAATTGAATTATCATCTCTGTGCCCGAACACACGATGCCGAACCTCTGCATTACTAACATGGTGTTGCCACTGAATGTCAGCAATCCTTCGGAGACAACGATGATCGAACACAGAGAGTCGTCTAACATCCTCAACTCGGAGAAGCCAGGTTTCACAAGCATAGAGCAAAACTGCTCTCACCGACGCGTTGTAGATCCAACCTTTTACAGCCAGACTGACATCGCGAAGGCGCCAAAGGTGGCCCAGATTGACATAAGCCGCTCTGGTTTTCACTATACGTGCATTGATCTCATCACTCACACCACCACCAGCACTTATGCAGCTACCCAGATACACGAACTTCTCAACTACTTCTATCTACTCACCATACAGGGCGAGTACAGGATCAGCGTCCTGCCGGTCTTGTAAAAGTACTCTGCACATACCGTGCCTACGGACATTGATTGCCAACTGATCAAATGCGGATTGCATGCCTTGGGCATAATCACACAGTAAGACAATATCATACGCATACTCAAGGTCGAGAAGTCTTTCTCCAGACAACAGATCCACACCGCCATTACTTACATTCATCAGAGCTGTTTCTAGAATGTCGTCGATGGCAAAGTTGATGAGGAATGGTGAGATTGGGCAACCCTGCCTAACCTCACTGCTTGGATGGAACAATGAAGAAAGGTGGTTGTATGCCCTCACTCTACCTGAGGTGTTTGCATATAGGGCTTTTAGGATGTTAATAAACTTCTCAGGCACACCCTTCTTCAATAGGCAATCCCAGAGAACAGTGCTATCCAACGAATCGAAGGCAGCCCTGATGTCAAGAAACATTACGATTGTTGGCTTTTGATATGTATGACGGTGTTCTAACATTTATTTTATTTTATTTTATTTGAACACATATATATTGGTACAGGAGTGCGCCAAATATATATGCACCACACAATTTCAGTTCATTAATTGCATGTGGGCTGCGATACTGCCCGGGTGCCCAGACCGAAGCAGGTGGTTACCTTAGGGGGCCACACCCCTAGCCTTTGACCTAAAGGTCTAACCCACAAGGCAGTGGAGCATCGTAAGGAGATGCAGTCCCATGGTAGCCGGTGACCGAAAATTGGTTCATACGCCATTTGTTCGCGCAGTATACTGGTACCCATGTGCACCATTTGGCGAAGGGTGAAGATATGATCAATACATCCTCGACCAGAACGAAACCCAGCCTGCTCCTCGCGAGTCAATCTTTCTCGGGTTTTGGACAACCTACGAAATATGACGGAAGCCAATAGCTTTGACGCAGTGGGAAGTAGACCTGTTCCCCGATAGTTGTTACAGGAACGACGTGAACCCGTTTTAAATATAGGGACAACTATCGACTCATTCCATGACGTTGGTACACTCCCTAGTTCCCAGACCTTTGCAAACAACGTCGCCAATTCCTTAGTCAGAAAGTCACTACCATCTTTAAAAAGAGCTGGAGGTAAGTCATCTGGGCTTAGTGATTTGTAGCGCTTCAAGAGTTGGAGTTCCTTATGGACTTCCACCTCATTTGGTGGATCAGTCGTCACCGGCCATGGAGGGCAGGACAATCTGACCTATGTTGCAGGAGCAGCAGACCAGTTGAACTGCCCTTCGAAGAATTCTGCCCATCGTCCAAGACGTCGATGGATGTTAGTGATTGGCATCCCATCATCCTCGTAGATTGTTTCACTCACACCAGGCTTCTTGCTGCCAGTGGCTCGGATGAGTTGGTTAAGCTTCTGGTAATTATCAGATGCAGCTGCTGCTTCCAACTCATTAGCACGCTCCGACCACCAGGCTTCTCGGTCCTTACGCAAGCTTTGCCCAATTTCCTTACGTAACATCCTTCGTTTGTGGTTAAACTCACGGTCACCCGGAGTAGACCGACGGGCTTCAGTGAGTTGTAAGGAGCCTGAAGAAACTCAGTGCTTATAAGCGGAACGTTTCGCGAAGCCGCAAGAGGCTTTACTCTCCATTTTCATGGCGTCGTGAATTTGCAACCAATGCTCGTCTATACATTTCGCTGGATTGGTAGCTAGCCTAGAAGCTAGCTCAGTTTGATACTTACTAGCAACAGAAGTTGCAACCAACTTGCTGACATCAATCCTTTGGTGGCGGTCATTTCGTTGGCAACTGAAAAGTAAGGCAAGATTGGCGCAGACCAGGGCATGATCAGAGTCTAGATAGAAACTCCAAAAGAAGCGGCAGTCTTGTACAAAATCACGCCAGCGGTAGCTGACTGCGATGTGATCAATCTGAGTCCAGGCTTGAGATGCAGAGGGAGGACGCCAGGCGGCACATCGGTGATGACTGTGCCGAAAGTTAGCGCTAGCCAGAAACAGGTTGTGGTCTGTGCATAGTTGCAGTAGACGGTCTCCGTTATCTGTCCTGCGACCAACAAGTCCCCATCGGCCACCTAAACGATTCTCTTCTGTGCCTAGACGCCCAACCTGAGCATTCAAATCTCCGGCTAGTACTGCAATATCTGTCGAACGCACTTTCTGGAGAAGAGCAGTTAACTGGTGGTAGGATTCATCCTTGATTGCATCCAGGCTGCAATCTGTCGGGGCATAGGCGGAGATGACGAAAAGACATCGTTTTTCAGGCCGATTTCTTCTCACTGTGACGGAACTTTCTAATCTAACAGCACATAACCGACTGTTAATGGGGATCCAATCGATTAGTGCTGCCTCAGCTCTAGCGCTTAGTGCGACGCCAACGCCAGCAAGACCAGACGAAGATGCCACAGGGTCCCCGGATAAGCGCACGTAAAACAAGCTTTTTGAAGTGACAGATGGAGAGCAAATTTGTAGTACTTCACCAGAGTCTTGAATACGAGTCTCGGATAGACAGCAAACATCGATATTAAGAATTTCCAAAGACATAACCAGCCCTATCTGTTTTCCAACCTGCATAAGTGTGCGAACGTTGAAGGCAGCCAGTTTGAATGGTGCACGTGGTTTCAGAAAAACTGCTTCAGTATTCGTATTCGGTGGTAGCATACAATTTTCAACCAGGTAGTGATTCGAGAACGTTTAGATAGAGTCCAATTTCCACCATAGACGGGCTGCTGTATAAGTCGAAAAAATAAGTATAGACAGAGTAGGAATAAAAGAGGGTGAATAATGACGTAGTAAATAATAACAATGATAATAATAATAATAATTTTAATTTGAATCATTTGATTGTTAGTCGAAGCAAGAAAAGTAGTTTCCATAATTATTCACAGTTCATCATTTGTGTGTGGGCTGTGATTATACTGTCCGGGTGCCCAGACCGAAGCAGGTATGACTATGTTTGTTGTCTGCACTTATACCTGGAGTATTCTGCAAGTTCGTGTAAATGTTTAGTATTATAAATCCTATCTGAGGTGTTACAAGCATGATCGGTCATCGTATAACGAAAACCGCTGCATCAAATGCAGATTTAGCCCATCTTTCACAAAGTTTTGATTTTAATGTTATTATAAATGTCTGTTTTACAACACATGTTTGCTTTGTCCGCGCGACATGTAGTCTTCTCATAGTATGTATTCTGTCATTTCTGTCTTCGTGGTATTACACACTTTTAATGACAATGCTATGTAACAAGTATTCGGAGACGGCAGAAATCCTAATTGAACCTGTAGAAAGTAATTCCCTACAGATGCTATTCTAAACAGATCCCCAAACTGTTAAGCACAGAGTCTTAGCTTAGCTTAAGTCAGATCAAGTGAGCTATTTAGGTTGATAAACTCTACCATTAGTATGCAAAAACAAATAATAAAGTCTATCAAACAAGGAAAAAGAGCGACGTAAATAACATACCGAACAGTAATTAGAGCATAGGAGAAATGAGTCGACAAAACTAATTTATTTTATGACAAACGTGAAAGATTATGATTGATGAATAAATAAGGGATAGTCATACGAAGTCAAAGAGAGTCAATGAAGTGGTGGGCGTTAAATACTGTCATTAGTGGGTTCAATAATCAATCACACCTTACAAAATCTGTAAATCTGTTTTTAATCACGGTGTTTAGCGGTTGATGATTTATGAACAATTAATCTTGACTTTTCACCTTGTTTGAAAAATTTAAATTGGTTACTTGTAGCATTGCATTTTAATAAAAGAGAAGATTTTGATCTTTTAGAGCGTTGCAGCCTCTTCAATGTTGTTTGAGTCATCGAGCTCACAGTTGATTATATATATATATACTAATCCATCCCAACCAACCACTGGTAATCGTAGTAGTGTCATATTTCGTTTTTAATTAAATAACTAAAAACGCCATTAAAAGATTATTAAATGCATCTATTTTGTTCAACTGTTTTTCCAAACGTTTCAGTCACTCATTGACCCATTCCATTCAATTTTTTTCATTCGCAATATTATTAATCTGTTTTGTTTATCTTTTGCGTGGTTTTGTTTACTGCATAAAGTCTATATTTTGGGAATATTGTGGTTAAAAACATGGAAATGCTTTTATCTTGCTTTTGCAGGTTACTCCTCAAATATTGTTTTACTTAAAATTGGATAAAGTTGGTGAATTAAATCCAGATTTCGGTTCGCTTTACGTTTTTACTTGTTCTAATTCATGTGAACTTCCTAGAAGAAAAAAATGTACAGAAGTATCACCTTCTAAATGTGATAATGCATTTATTGAATATCAACGTGAAATTGTCATTCGTCAAATGGTTCCATAATTGATTAACAATTATTTTTATGTGAAGGGTTAAATGGCTTGATTTTAAAATAAAAATTGATCCAAGTACAGATTTGATCAGTAGTTCTGTTGATTAGATATTGATATAAAACTGTGTAAATCGGTATCACTTTCTTTTTACGGTGTTAGACATTACTACTATCAGTTATTATAAAAGCATATAAAGTTCTCTTTCACTATTTTGTTAAATGTTGGAACGCATCTGTTTTCGTTATTATTTATTATTAATCTGTTGATTTAATCAATTAAAAAAGCATTTAGAATGTTATTGCTACCACCAAACTGATCGACAACCGTATTAAATTTTAGAGTGCTGAAACGATCATCTCTGTCTGTTCATATCATCTTGTAGTGTCTACACCATTGATAGGTCTGTATCGATGGCGTAAGCAGATAATTATTATCGACAAATTACATTTATGTTCTATTGATTTGCAATAATTCCTTATATATAATGAGGGTCTATGCAACTCTTAATTAATGCCACCTAGAAGAATTCCTTTCACATTGTTACATCAAAACTTATCTAAATAACATAAAATATCGAAGTCCCAATATATATTTCCGTAATTTATAAATTTTCCAAATTACCAAAACAGAAAGCTTGGAAAAATTAACTCTAGAAGTAATGAAAACTGGATATTTAAACGAAGATACCGGTATCATCTTAAAGTTTACAAAATGCTTTAGCAGGGTGGTTAGCCATATTCCTTTATAAACACAACCACGTTAGGTGACTAAAGTCAATTAGCATTCAGCTTGACCACTTAGGTTCCGTTCGGGATAGTTGAAACAATAAGAATTGTCAGTCTATCGAAGTACTGAGATGTGGGTGATTGTAAATTTCCAGTAATTAATATGATGAAACTCAATAAATCAATGAGCAAATCATTTTCTTGTATATAATATAGAATAAATGTGATCAGAAGATACTTTGTATGCAAGACATCGTTAGAACTAATTAGTTTTCTGTATAGACCCTGACTGTTGTTGGGTGCTATATTAACAGTTACTGTTTATCATCGAAATTATTAGTCTTTAACTACGATTAGTCGTTGGAGACTAGGTGACATGTCTCAGAGTTGTCCACAATGACACAGGTGCATTCACTTTTGATTTTCAAATCCAGTACTTCTTCGTTCCTAAACCAACCTCATTGTGATTTATTGAATGTGGCAGAATGACATAAAACAATATAGAAATGGTAAGAATACCAGATGCCTGGTTTGCTCCATTCTCTCCCATGATAATTTTAAATTGGTGAGTCGAAATACATTTCAATGCCATGGACCTGCATAGTGGATTTTTTCGCAGTTCTCACGCCAGTATCATTTTTTTCTAACTTTCTGAAGTAATACAGTACATTCGTTTTGTAAACCATTCGGAGCGGTAAATTATATTTCTGATAGTGAAATATAAAATTGTAGTATTCTACTTTCACTCTCGAAATTTCTACGAATGCACGTAAAATAGGGAGATCATTATATTACCAGGTTTATGAATATCTGAATGGCATCCCGCAGGGAAGTTTCTAAAATTGGCCGTTCGTATACTATTATGGAAATATTATATTCACTTGCTAGATTATTAGAATAAATCCATGTTTTGTTAATAAAAAGGATTTGTTAGTCCTGGTAGATTTCGATACATACATATTTATGATTACACCATTAGAAAGTCTTTAGATCCCACTATTAACATTTCATTGTTCTTCAATTATTATCAGCAACATTGTTAAAATATAGGAGTACAAAAAGATTATTCTGTGCGGTGGATTGGTGGTCAAGCCATTTGACCTTAAAGCAGTAAGTTGCAAGTTTGGTCTCTATTCCGAATAATTTTGCTCAGGTGGTCGGATAAATGACGGTCTTGAATCTACGGAATATAATATATCCAGTTTTTACATCGTCCTTTGTTGTCTTACGATTGGTGAAAATATTCTGAAGCTTAAATTAACTACTTGTAAGTAGTAGAAATTTCTTTAAAAAATAACTCGGTCGCTTTAACACTTCAGATTGAACGATAGCTGAATTCTTGATTAGATTTGAAGGAGATAACTAACTGGTAATTATGCCAAGACTTTGTTTCATTTACCTGATGAAAATCCAATAGAGAAGTTGATATTATAAAGTATATTGTTGAATTTCGCCAATGATTATTTTCAAAAAATTAAAAAGTCTTGTCTTTATAAATTTACATTTTGTCCAGTTGGTTGTAAAATCTTGCAGTAAATTTTGTTATGTTCTTATGCTCTGTGAGTAAATCGCCAATGAGGACATTAATTTATACGACCTATACATTGTGCCAAACCAGTCACACGATAACCAGTACGAGCAGCGTAGAGTTAAATCTGAGTATTGATTCTTCTCTCCTAGCTCTGTCCGTTTGAGTCCAGAACGCAATCTCATATTTCACTGTTTGAATAGTTCGTTTTAGACATGCATAGCCTATATACAAGTAAATCATACCATAAAATAGAAAGTAACAATTATAACAAGGCCAGAGGTGACTGTGAGTATGAGATACTGTAACTAATAAATTGGGAATAACTTAAGAATGGCAAATCGTATAAGAGTAGGTAATAGGTAGAATGAAAGGTTCATGAATATACATATAATCTAGTTACTCAATAGTTACCCAACTAGAATATATGCAATAATAGTCCATAAGTAATTCCGAGCAGTTACCATTCATATATTCTTCGTTAGGATATGACAAATTTTATGTGAATTGAGTCGACCAAGTGCTGCAGAATAAGTTTGGAATCAATGTGTGCAAACCGATCATTCTTCAGTGATAATCCTTACTTTAGTTGCGTTGTACACTTAGTCAAATTATTTTGACCAAGTTTGCAATTTGGCAACTGAACTAAATGGCTGGACAGATCGGTGTGTCTTGTCTCAAGGTTTGGAGGGATTATTGAGTAACAGTAGACCTGTGTTTCGTGTTGGTTGACATGCATCGGCAAGTTGTATCTACACGAAGAGATGAACTGCATATTATGCACTGTCTGATTTATGCAATCGTGAGAGTGACAGCAAGTCAGTAACGACCTGATCAGCCTAGTAGTAATGTTTCTGGGTAATGTATGTCCTCACATCTGAAGACTCCTTATTATCCCAGATGTCAACCAAAATGAGTTTTGTTTTCCCGGTGGTTTTGCAACAATCTCTAATGATTGAAAATGAAAATCAATGATATGTATTACAGTTGAGTCTTTCAATTTCCAACCTGTGGATACTTTCAAAATGAGTTCCAGGTTATGATTTTAGTAACGGTATTAGTAATCGTTGGGATACATGCATCGTAATCTCAAAACTCAGTTTTAGAAGCAAACGTGATTTTTTCGATGTCATTAGTTGATATCATGTAAACACACTGTCTACGCAGGAAGAAGTAATACTTAATGTTATTAGTTGGATGCTGACAGTCGACACATTTGAACTCCACTTGTCGAGTGTTGGACAGTTATCAACCGAAGGCAAGAAAAGACGGTTGTGCATTATCGTGAGTTGATTGAAGTTAGACAATAATACCATTGGATATTGATTCCGTGGTTTAGTGGTTAAGTTTTTACGTGAGAGACCGAAGGTCCTGGATTCTATGCTGTATAGTTGGGGAGTGAATGGGCATTGCTGAGAAGGCTCATGTTAGATCTAAACAGCTATTCAGTGCCCCCTGGTTTCCAATCGCGGTCTAGCTAATATCACTTCGTGATTTAAATTTTATCTTAAATAATATCAGGTATCATGTATTTTGTTTCATATTTTGACGGTCACGTTTAATTATCTGAGTAAAATGAAAAATTATTGAACTTTTTTCGACGACATTTTAAATGGTTGCTTGTTTATAATTTTCTGGCAACATTTAATATAGAAATAATAAATTAGATTAAATTGTCGACCCAAGGTCATCACAGATTGAGTTACATATATTTCAATATTAAAATAATGAAAAACTACATATTTATTCTTGTATATAATGTAAGTTATTCTACGTGTTATTGTACACTGACATCCCTTCATTCTTGCCTCTTTTCGAAAAAATACCCCACCCCAAGTTTCATTTAGTTAAAGTTATTCAAGGTCGTTCTGATGATGATGAAGTTTGAAATCCAATTCTAATTTGTCAAATTTACTGTTTTATCTATACAATACGAGTATTTCAAATAATTACAAAAAGGTAATCTTAATATTATAAATGAACAGATGTTATGTCAATTAATTTAATTTTAACCTATTTTATTTATTATAAACAAAATGATAAGATTTTATGTCATGGAATTAAGATTTTTGGTGAATAAAACAATTTTCAATTGTGTTTAGCAGAATGTAGATTTACTAATTAATTATGATGTGGACTAAGGAGAATGAAAATAGTTTTTTGTATGTTTTTTGACTGCTAACATAAATTCATACTTGGTACCAAAAAAATTGTGGATAAATAATATTTGAATAAAACAAATAGGTGAAAATGAATGGTGTTTAGAGTCTACTTTCATAATAATTGAAGGAATATATAAAATCATACATTTTATTTTAACTAATCTACCACTGCTGTTTTTTAGTGCCGATTGATAGATAAGTACTTGAATATAATATAATTGTTAAGAGGTGCCTTTAATTATACTTGGCAATTACATAAAAACCCATGTTTAGATCGAATAAGCTCAACCAGTTGGAGCCATATGTTAATAATACCTGTGGCTGACGTATTTGTTTTCCTTTTATAACTGACTGACCAAGTATTCAAGTCACTACTGATTTCAGTATATTTTCTGGACACATTTTAGCTTCATATTAAAGAGTGATAGTGATCTACGGTCAAACAATCGTTCAGTGTTCAACCTTAATAATTATCGTTGACATGACTTATATTTAGTAAAAATATTGCGTATTAAATTCGTTTATTCAAATGATTACGCACTCTATTTTTAGCTGCATTTTATTGAAGAACTAGTGTACACAGACTATTTTGTGT